TGAGGACCTCAACTCTAGTGCCAACTCCACAATCCTTGGAGAACTTGCGGCCTTTGTCAAGCAGTTGGCAATTCCCTGGATTGCAGTTGGGGATTACCAAGTGCCGCCTGAACAATGGGACGGTCATAACCTGCTGAACGTCCTTAAAGCGGACCTGGTCTGCAGTGGTCAACCCACCATGGTCACTGGAGCTGAACTGGACTACCTCATTGCGTGCCGCACAGTGGCTCCCTTCATTGATTTGAAGGTGACTTGGGATGTCCCATGGAAGCCCCATGCGGGATTGGTCATCAAAGTGGACCAGGAGGCGCCCAGATTGGTTCTGCCACAGCTGACTCAATACCCGGCGGTCCCGAAGCTGGATGATCAAGTCAGCTCTTGGGAAGAGTTTCAGCCAGCACCAAAGCCATACTGGCTTGGCAGGCCAATTGGTCCCAAAGAGATTGTCTTTGCCGAGTGGTGCCATCAGGCTGAGCAGTTCAACCTTCAGCGGCTGCATGAGCCGAAGCAGGGCAGAGGATGGTACCTTGCACTGGAGCATAAACCCTTGCCTTTGTCCAAGCCACTCACACCATGGAAGAAAGGGGACCTGGCCTACTGGGGGCAATTTTGCTCTCTGTTGCAGCACATTGCCAGCAAGCCCTATATGTCTGCAGGCACCATGAATCATTTGAGGGCCAAGACAGCTGACCTGCACATGCGATGGCAAAACGTCCATGGACTGGAAGATTTCACAGCAGGTGTAGAGATGCTCATTGCTGGAGAATCCACCCCGCTGACTCTGCTCATCCAAGGTGCGGAGTGCAACAAGGAGTTTGCAAAGAAGCTGGCTTTGGAGCAGCAAGCAGGAGAGTATCAACAATGGTTGTCCCAAGCCAAACTGAAAGGACACAGTGGCATCTACAAGTGTCTGAAGGCGCCTGACTGTGTCCATGTGAGGCCCTTTCGGGATGTGCCCTTACAACAGCGGCAAACCTTGAGAGAGCAGCAATGGTACAGCAAGTGGCAAGTCATTGATGGCCCAAAGACTAGTGGTGAAAGGGAGCGACTTCGCTATGAGGGCATTGTTCAGGCCAGAAGTTGGGAAGATCTGGACCCACATGTGGTGATGAAGAAGCTGCGGAAGTTGCCCCAAAAGGCGTGTGGGCCGGATGGCATCAGCTATGCCATGCTCAAGAACCTGCCGATAGAAGGTGTCATCGAGATGTGCCACATGATGCGGAAGTGGGAGCTCTCTGGCCGGCTGCCAGACCAAGTGGTCACCACTTTGGTGCTACTACTTCCAAAAAAGGCAGACATAGAGCGTCCAATCTCGCTTACCAGCGTGATGTACCGGACTTGGTGTCGGCTCAGATGGGACAAGATCAGAGAGTGGCAATCGACCATTGGCCAACGGCTCCCATGGGAGCGAAGCCTCCCGGGTCAGCAAGTCTGCAGGTTGCCCTCATGAGGCTGCTGAAATGTGAAGTCGGCCGAGCTACTGGTCGCCAAGTCATCTCGCTGCTTTTGGACCTGCAAAACTTCTATGATGCAGTGCATTTGGAGCAACTCTTGGAGTTATGGGAGCCTCTCCAGTTTCCGCCCGCCGTGATGAACATGATCTTTGAAGTCTACACCGGGCCGAGATTGCTCCAAGCTGAAGGTGTGACATCCTCTGCAGTTCACTGTGCGAAAGGAATGTTGGCTGGTTGCCCGGCGGCTCCTTTAGTCGCTAAGCTGGTCCTTGCTCCTGTCCTGCAGACTTTTCAGGAGAAGTTTCCCAAGGTCTCGGTTGACGTTTGGGTGGACGACATCTCCATGGATTTCATTGGAGAAGATGCCTACAGTGTTTGTCAACAAGCGCTGGCAGGATATGATGAGATCAAGTATGGACTGGAGACAGTTGGCCTACAGCTCTCGCCTAGCAAGACAGGGTACTTGACGTCCACTGCTGAAGCCAAGAGGTCCATCAATCTCCACCGCAATGACCAGCAACCAAAGGCGCACGACCTCCTGAAGGATTTAGGCCTGGACTCCAGTGGTGGCCGGCGTCGTCGCATTGGCAGCCAACAGAAAAGGCTTTTGAAAGGCAGTGGACGACAGGCTAAGCTTCTCCATCTGAAGCTGAAGTCCCGTCCGGTGCGCATCAGGGTGTGGAAGACTTCAATCCACTCTGCTGTTGGATTTGGGGTGGAAGCTCAAGGCATGGCGCCCCAGCGGATGCGTACCCTGCGGCAGCAGCTGGCTCGTCATGGAGGGATGCAGAAGAAAGGAAGCATCGACATTGTGTTTGATCAACACAGACAGCTTCAGGACCCTCAAGACACGGCGGTGGAGCGGCAACTCAAGGCCATGCATCAACTTGTCCGAGCATGGCCAGCAGGCCAGAAGGGAGAGCTCATGTCTGCTTGGCGGATTTCGTGGAGGAGGCTTCAGACAGCGGCCCACCCATGGATGATAGTGGCAGGACCCATGGCTGCTTTGCAGGTCTACCTCATGGAGATGGGCTGGGATGCCTCGGTGCTGGATGACTGGATCAGGCCGGCCAAGGGACTGCTCCCTGCAAATCAGCTCAGTCTGGATTTTCCATGGCTGTACCTGCAACGCAAGCTGCAGCAGGAACAAAAGCATCAGCGTGCCCGGCGGATCCAGGAGCTGGAGCATTGTTTCCCCCTCATGAAGCAGCCTGATTGGACAGTGTACCATCGTGTCATCAAAAAGCTCAAAGGGCCGGCAAGAGCAGCGTTGGATGCCTGGACGCAGGGTTCCCTGCGCACACATGCTGCTGGAGAACGTGTCCTGTGCCCACTTTGTCAAGTCCCTGTTTCCATGAAACACTTGGTGTGGCAATGCAAGTACCATGAACAGGACCTTCCGAAGGAATGGCAAGACAGCATCAATGCCAATGAAGATCAGATGCTGTGGGCCCGTGGGCTCATTGAAGAGCCTCACTATGCTCCGGCTGAAGGGGTGGATTCATGTGAAGTTGCCGGCCTCCTGGCAACTGGTTGGCCCATCCGGCTCACTCCTTCGCACAGGGTGGCCATTGGTGTGAAAGCCACTTGTCAAGACCCGCGGCTCAAGCAGATTGTCGTGGCGCTGACAGTTGGAACATGGCAAGAAGGGTCATGGCAGATAGCTGGCACGTGCACTGCAGTTACGCCTGGCCAGGCCAGTGAGGCCCGCGGGTGGATCTTTGGATGCTGGCTCCTGCTTCAGGCTGTTCTTGGCCGCCACCAGCTGAACATTCCCCATCGTCCTGGTTGGGCAGCGCTTCAGAAAGGAGGAGGGAGCAAAGTGGCGCCGGATCTGTGGTACAATCTTCCAGAAGATGAATGGAAGAGGTTGCAACTGCTGAATGTGCCACCGAAGCTGCTGAAGGAGGAGGGCAAGACCTCGAGAGGTTGGGTCCAGTTTGCTGAGGCAAAGCAAGTGGCAATGCAGCGAGCCCTGAAGGAAGCACCTTCTTCACTTGAAATGGAGCTGAAGGCTGCGGACCTGAAGCACCAGGCCATCTATGAGGTCGCAGCTGCTAGAATCAGCACCATCCTGGCTGATCGGGACCACTACATGCATGGGGAGTTGGAAAAGGTGGAGCATGCAGTTCGTGTGCCAATGCCCAAACCCAAATTGGGCAGAGTTGCACTTTTCAGTCAGCTGGTGCAGCAAACCCCCAGTGAAGCACATCACAAGTGGCAGCACCAACGTCAGGGTGTGGTCTGTGAACGCTGCGGCAAGAGGATCAAGGCCTGCAGCACTTTCGAAGAGATCAATCGGAAGCAGGCAACGGCATGCCCTGGTGCTGTGACCAAGACCCTCAAGCAAGTCATGACTGAGCTGATTCATGACACTGAAGGGAGGCTAGAAGAGCAGCCTGGTCACAAGTGGGAAATGACGGCCACTAGTTTTGGATGTGTTCGGTGCTGGAACAAGATTCCCCTTCGGAGCAGCAAGGCAGTCCTTGACCACTTGGCGGCATCTGATTGCAAGTATGGGCAGCTGGATGAACAAGGGCTGCAACTCCGGACTCGTGTGCACCCCTCTCATGCTGTGTGGAGGCGAGGCATCTGGCTCGAATGTCGGCAGTGCAAGCGGACTAGCAAAGAGCAAGATGGCAGAGTTCAACAGTGGTTGGCAAAGCATTGCATCACTGGAAAGGGCCAACAGACTTTACGCTTTGGCCCGAGCTCTAGTAGCTGAAGTCGTCCATTGCAGTGGACAGTACAGGCTGGTACAAGGAGAATGAGCCTTGCCAGCGATTGGCCATTTTTCCCTAGGTGGCATGGCCGTTGAGACTTGGCAGACACCAAAAAGGACCGAGAAAAAAAAAGAGAGACAGACAGACAAACAGACAGACAGACAGACAAACAGAGAGAGAGAGAGAGAGAGAGCGGGGAACCAGCCCTGCACATACCCAAACCCAAATAGGCCGGCGCCCGGCTGTCAGGCGTAAGCCTCTTAAATAATACAATATATATATATAGATATATACAATTATAATACAATTATATACAGGGCTTGGGCTTGGGCTTGGCCAGACTCGATAGAACCAATGTGGGAACAATATCACATCCTACTGTGGTGAATGACCATGCACTATCGAGGATCGATGGCCTTCACATGCACACTCCATGGACTTTCCAGCTCGTAGATTTCATGAACATTCTTTGAACCGGATGACTGCTCGAAACCCACAAACTAATCCTGTGGTCAAACGTGGACAGGCATGTATGGCAACCCCCTTCAGCATGAGTTAAACACCTTGGCAGTGATAGTTCTTGCAATGCACGCTTGAGAGACAGTCGCTGGTTTCTGAGGCCAGCAGGTTTAATTCTGCACATGCGAGTTGGGTATTGAAAGCAGCATTGCAATCGTATTCGCACGTCACTATCACACTGTACGAGAAACAGTTTCAATACATTCGTTTCTAATGGTATCTCAACCAACTTCTTCTCACAAGAGATTCCAAGTGACTCAGACTAATTCCTTGATCCTACCAACACATTGTTGACATCCCTGTCCTCGCCGCCTCTTCAGCATAACGCCTCTTCAGCCGAAGACGTGACTGGTCCGGTGTCCCCTCTGAAGATGAACCAACAGCGCGGTCATCCCATATTTTGGGAAGCTCACATATCCAGTACATCTCCAAAATGAGTTCAGATTGGATGAGTTCCGGACTTATGTATTGTAGGCTTTCCCGAGAAATTGGTTCTCCAGGCTCTCCAATGCTGCTATCTTGTGAACAAAAAGTGCAACCAAACAATTGCCTGTGGGTAAAGCCACTACCCACGGGTTCAACTAACTCTTGGAACGAAAGCACACCCCTCAAAAAGCGTAGACCACAAGCCAACCATATTTCAATCCTACTATACTTTTGCCGGCAGAATCACATTGACCTGGAGCTACAAAGCCAATTTCAATCCTCTTTGGCTCACATCCACCTCTTGCAATGATTAATTACTAATTACCTACTAGCGATGGCCTCCAACCTACTAGCGATGGCCTCTCCCCCTGCTCTGCCTGACCCATCGCCGAGCCAAGCCGTCACAGCGCCGACGGGTGGCAACCATCTGGCACATCCCGTGCAGATACGCGACCAAGGGTCCAGTGAAGATGTGTCGATTCCTCACCTCTGTCACAGCTCTAAAATGGTTGGCTCCATGACTTGTGTCAAAACTCAGTGAGCTCTCTATGTGGCTGCACAATGTTGCACATGTCAGAATCATTTAAAACAAAAACAGATCCAAACAAAACGCTGGAAGATTGATCAATGTGTTTTATAACTTTCTTTCATCGGTCGATTCCGAGGGAACGTGACCGGGGCCCAACGCTGGAAATGCTGGTTTCCAGAAATGACACCCTGGCTGGTCTCATAGGCTTCTTAAGTTCAGTTCAACGGTGAAACGCCTTTTTGGCGGACGCTGCTTCTCAACGAACACCTTGCCCCGAAAACTGGTCGGGTTACACGAGCAACACACACACACATGCAAACATTTGTAGAACGTCAAAACACTGTCTGGAACAAGAAACCAACCACTACAAAAAAATCATCTTCTCTCACTATCAGGCAGTAGGCAGTTTCAATCACTCCTTTGGCTCTAAAACTCCTGGCTAAATCAAGCCTTCCCTCCATAATTTTCTCTAAGGCATTCGGATTGCTGCTTAGCTCCCACCTCCTCCGCCAGATCTTCCAAGCCTTCCGCCACCTCTCGCCGCGCCTGGTGCGTGCTGGTGCGAGATTTGCACAGCTGGATCGGTTGAAGTCCTGATACTTGCATCTCTTTCTTTTCAATTCTTCCAGCGCCCTAGAAGAACTTAGATCTCCCAGCATCTCTTTCTTGGAATGCAACACATCCAGCCTGGCCGAAGAGAATGTAGGGGTCCTGCTAAGCGCGCTGCAAGCGGTTGTGCTTGGGTGTCAATCTTTCTGGACCTCCTCTGACCAACCTAAACCAGGAACTGCATCGATGCGAGGCAAAAAACGGAATTCTTCGTCTGTGGGAATTTTCGGCTTCGTCGGAACAAATGGTGGAATTCAAGAACGGTACTGATGGTTCAATAGGAATTCAACTGCCCTTGGATGTTCACATGATCAAATACATACAGTACCTTTTCACTCTGACTTAAACTTCCATGTGAACGTCCGAGAGTCCGTCGCTCTGAGAACGGCCCGGGCCGTTCAGAGCTGCGAGGGGAACGAAGCGATATCGCTAGAAGTTGTATGAAGCCCAAGATTACTATGTTCAAGGTTCCTATATATAAATCTCTTGAGCAAAGGACAGATGTGACAGACCTCTTCTCCCTTTTTCTGCATATATCCACGAAGCAAAGATATCCATGAAGCAAAGAAATCCCATTAAAACAAACTTAAACACACTTTAACAACAACAACAACAACAACAACGACGATCTTCAGTCTGACCTGACCCAGTCACAGCGAGTCCAGTCGGCTTTTTCACACCCGGTCCTCACGATGTGGACTCCTGGTGGCTGGATGTTGCGATCATCTCGAGACCGGAGACCGGAGACCGTCGGCCATGCCATGTGCTGAGACGTCCATCCGGTCGTCAGCACCGTACGCAGGTCGGAGTTGGATGGTTTTTGGAACAGAACACAGATCAAGGATGATCAATGTAATATGAAACCATGGCAAGATACAATGATGAGCTGCAGCTTCAATGAATACATCATGCTGACTTAAACAACCATCGTGTCCTCGTCCGCTGCCGCAGCTTCCGGAAGAGCCTCTGACAAAGATTTGAAAGCTTTGAAGCTGAGATGACATCACGGCAAGGGAAAGAACGAGCTTATAAACGAATGCTCAACACCTTACAGAGAAGGAACCAGTGTGACCACCCGTCCTTTTTTCGAGCTATATAGTTGTTCACATCACATCCATACCATGGAAGTGGACATTACCATGACCTTTGGGTGAGGAATTCAGATTTTAAACAGCTTTCTATGTGCCTCTCATCTAAGTATGAAGATCACATTCTGTACACCAGCTACATTTACTTGTTTCGTCATTTTGCGAAGATTTGCTCCGAACTGAGAAGCGTACGAGTATCTGCTTGGCCCTTTGGCTGGTCACCCTTCACTTCGCTGAAGTCTTCGATCCACATACCAGCCAAGTGGTAAACAAGCCACACAAATAGAGTGGGCCCAAATCACTTGCTTGACCGCCCAAGAGGGCCCCAAATGGCCCAAGGAATCTGCATGGTGGTTGAGGCTACCGTTTCCATCTCAATGGGAACATTGAACCTTGCCAGGCCAAATCTCCAGTGCTGGAGGCCTGCATTTCTCCCAATGATGCACCCCTTCCGTGCCTTTTGGACGCCTCCTTCAGCAGTTCGTGCTGCTCGGCCCAATGGCAGGCCCAAGCCTCACTTTCGAAACGAATCCCTCGGAGGCTTGGCAAGTGCTCTGAGTGCGCAGTACCATGCAGTACCCCATAGTGAATTGAGCTGTGGGTTTTCAGATGAAAGTTCGTTTGGGTGGACATCTGCCGTGTAGTGGAACCCCGTTGAGGCGTTTCAACGGGAGAAATGGATAAGGCCTACTGGTGCGAACTCTTTGTGACCCTGATTCAAGCGTCACCTCCTGTCGAAACCATAAAAGGGAGTGTGTCACAGTGTCTTCTCCATTTGCTGCGAACTCTTTTTCCTGCTTTCCTCCAATCAGCGTCGGAATGACCAAGAGCTGCGGGAAAATTAAGACCTCGAAGAACCACCAGGGGCCCAACCCCATCCATCGACGGAAGCGACGTGGGAAGCGGAAGCCCTGTTTAGAACCTATTCGGATTTTGACCATGCACCCCTCACAACGCCTCACAACGCCCCTTGAGCTAGCCAATGATCCGATCCGCTGTGGACAGGGAGAGAAACTGCAACCGGGACTGTAGAAGAGAAATCCTGAGCTTTCGGACTCTTGACCAAAACAACCTGTTTGCTTTGGGGAGAAGCAGAATAAGCTGTAGGTGGCACCCCCACTCCAGGTGCTGGATATCATGCCCAATCCGCCCCACCAATGGGATCAACTGAGGTCACAGGCCGGTGGCCACCTTGCCAAGTCCTCAAGTTGAGTCGAATTACAGTATGGTGTAACAGATTGGTCTGGACCAAGGCCATTTCGGCTTTCTGAACGAACGGTCCTAAGCTGGCCAAAAAAGGATCAAAAAGACTTCGCTGTTTTGGGTGGACCTTTTTAGGCTGTATCAGTCTGCCAGAGGTGAGCAAAAACAAGTGAGCCACAACAAAACCATTCCTTCTCTCCCTCTTTTCCTTCCCTTCGGTTCACTTCTTTTCGTCGATTCTGTTCTCTTCTTCTGATCCCTTCGCTTCTCTTCCCTCTTCCCGCTCAGGTTGTCGGTCCCATCTTCTCTTGCTACACTTCTTGGAAGATTCGTGTGCCAACTTATCCGGAATCGATCCAACTCAAGCATGGGCTAAATACATTCTTTGCCTTTGTACACATTCACGACTTAATTAATTACCATTTTTGCTCGATATCCTGGCTTCGAAAAGTGCGCTGCCTGGTCGCATCCCGCTCGCCGCTCTACTTTGGAGGCTTGCAAACGTCTCTCCTCACGCAAGGACATTGGCTTTGTAGAGGGCTGAGCCTCTATTGACGTCTAGTTACTTCAGTTGGCCAAATTGACTACTCCAAGTATCCTCTCAACTAGTCCCACATGGGTTAAACGTGGAAACAGGAGCAGAATCACAGCATAGGAGACAAAAGTGCAATGCACAACGAATTGCTGCCTTGGCGAGAATCCACAAACATCCACAAACGAACCCTTCATTGGTTGGGGTGAGCAAGCTCTAGTACTAGCTTTAGTATTTTCATCAAGAAGGGGTTCCCTTTTTCCAGGGCTCTGGAAAGCTTCTTTCAAGTCCTTTAGGTTTGAGCTGGTCTGAGTTTGGCGGGTGTGATGTTTGTCCGTTTCAAAAGCTGCAGCCCCGATCGAAAAGCTGCTGAAGGGCTGACTGGCAATTGTTTTTGGGTTTGATGGCGATTGCAGGATTTTGGGTGGACTATTCTGTCAAAGTCCTAATCTGATTGCAGGTGCGCGGGTGAAAACAGGAATATGAATGCTCTGCTACTGACTAGACCATAAAAGCAGAATCAACATGGGAGACATTCTGTCCTGGAGTCCTGGGCAGCCGTTAACCGTTATATAGTCCCACTGAGTTTCCAGTCAACCTTTCGGTACAAGACTTTCGTGCCTAAAGCGTGCCTCAACGGTGGAACTCCAAATCGTCCGATCCTCCAATGTGTTTTCTGATCCCCTCTATCTTCCCACCACTCCACCGGCTCCGCGACCTTCAAATGGTCCATCGCAGCGTCCAGGTTCTTCCTACCCAAATGGAGGAGCCAGGGAGCCACCAAAGGAACACCCCCAGTGCCGAGCTGTGTTTTTGGGGGCTGCAGCTTGGGCTTGATCCTCCTGCATGCACCTCAGGGACGGTTTTTGGATCTGTCCTGTCTCCCTCTCCTTGTGTCTACACTCATGAGCCCTAGAAGTTGGAAACGGGTTGACTTCTATGGTGTTTCAGATTGCGCTGCAACTGAAACATCTCAACTAGCTAGTTCATGCTAGCTGCTAGCTATGCGACATTCCCGCCCACGGGCGCTCTGCGCCCAGGGGTCGCCCTGACCAAACGGCGACACACCAACGGCTGTGGCCCATCATGGACTCCATGAGAGACACTCCCCATCTGAGGGTGAGTGGACATAGACCTTCAGAAGGCTTGGATTGGAAGACAGCTACTAGTTGGGTTTTCGGGCGCTATTTCTATTTTTAGGTGGAGGCCATCGCAAGTAGGTTGGAGGCCATCGCTACCAACGGAGCAAGAAGCTACGAACGGTTGGAGGCATAGATGGACCATGGATGACGATGGACCATGGATGGTTTTGAATCATGGATCGCTACATGGAGCTACAAATAGGAGCAAGGACGCTACTAGGGGCTCCTGGCCATACTAGTAGGAACAAGAAGCTACTACGGGCTCCTGGCCTTACTACTAGGAACAAGAAGCTACTAGGGGCTCCTGGCATCGCTACTAGGAGCAAAGAAGCTACTAGTAACAAATACTTTACCATCCTTGTGGATCCTTTGGATTTGACGCACGCCATAAGCACTCCACCACTCCACCACGCACCTGGAGCCCGGGGGCAGCCAGCACCGCAACCACTGCAGCCACCTGGCCACAAAGACACAGAATTTCTTGAGACCATGAACAATTAGTCCTTCTTGTGCTACAAACAAGTATGAATCAGTCAAAAGCCCAGGGAACCCTCCGACGGTCCATCTCCACGTGGGGAAGGGCAAATGGCGGCCCACACCAAGTCCAAATGATCCAGCCATACACTCTCGTGTCTGTTGCATAGCTCTTGATGTCGGCACCCATGTGCAAGCTGCGAAGAGCAGCTTGGAATGACTTTGGAACATCTCAAGACAGCAACGACCTGGGAGACAATCCGAGATATGAACATGGATCAATGTGACTGCTGTGCGGAGATGGTCATATGCCAGGCCGCACAAGACTTGAGGCACTCACAGACTCACAGTACATAGGAGTGTGCCAGGCATGACCATTCGTAGTGGAACACATCCAGCTCGGTTGGAGTATCAACCCTGCACTTTCATTCATCAGAAAAAAACCACCTTCCCAATGTCTTGGTACTGGCACCTTCTCCCCACCCTTTCAGCAACCATCTCCCCACCCCGGCCTCATGAGGCCTCCCAAGGCCGCGGCCTGACATTTTCTTGGCTCCGAAGTGAGGCTTTGGGGCTCATGGATTTGCAGGAGTTTGCATGGATTTATCATGTTGACAGAGACCGATACAGTATAGCCAGACGGATTGATTTGAAAAAATGCCGGGTGAGTTTGTGGCGCCTTTCCAAACTGAACCTTCCGTGTGGTCTTGGTGAACGGAGCTGGTCCCAAAAAGATCCAAAAACACCATGACTACTAATTGCAGCTCTTCGTCCAGATTCACAAGATCGTTCCAACTGGATTGGTTTGTTGTCCACGGAGCGTCGGCCCCAAGACTCTGGAACCCCCCCAAGCACACCCAGTACGTCCGCAGGCTCCGCCACTTTGGATGTTTAGCCTTTTGCTATCCTTTGCGTGCCTTTCTCCACGATCGTTGGCGGACGCATGGTTGTGGACTCTTTAGATCGTTCCCATCTACCTGGAAACCCAAACAACCAGAAAGAAATCGATGTTTCCCGAAGCAGCCACTTCCCACGTAAAGGATCTCAGCAAACCTTCGCCCTGTCACCCCGCCTCGTTGGAGACACTCACCATGTCTCCACGACGTAAGGCCAGCAAAGTCTGGCATGTCATTGTGAGTCATCAAAGACTTGGGAAGCTCTACCCAGCCAAAGCAAGGTCTTGTCTTTTTCCCGGGGTCCTCTCTTTAAAAAGCCTGGCCACAGTCCCCTGAGCCCTGTGTCCGGGTCTTGTCCTCCTCTTGTCCCCTCTTGTCCTCGCATTTGTCCTGCTGTCCTTTGGCCGCGCTGGCCAACCTTGTGTCTTCTTCTTGTCCTCCTGGCGCCTCCAATTAGTTTACTTTTTGGGGTTCTCTTACGAAAAAACACTGGCCACAGTCTCTGGCCGCGCCCGGTCAACCTTGCGTGCGGGTGTTGGCCTCCTGTTGCCCTCTTCTTGTCCAGCCGTGTGCCCCCTTCTTGTCCTCCTCTTGGTGCCAAAACAGTTTACGTTGTCATTGTCCAGTCCAGGCTTTGTCTGTTCTGTTGGCCGCGTCGCTTTGTCTGGGTTTGTGTGTCCTGCTTGTCCACGTTGTCGGCCCTTTTACCACAGCCTTGTCTGGGCCTTGTCCGCTGCTTGGCCACGCCGCTTTTTCTCAATTCACCGCCTTGTCCAGGTATGTTTTCATGTGGCTATGAATGCAACCGTGATGCAGTGTTTCAAATTTAATATCATCCTTGGATTTTCTCATGACATATGTATATATATATATATAGTTATTATATCAATTCGTTTTTCACTTGTGACTCAGGCACCAGGAACTGTTGTTTTCAAACATGTTTTGTTTACGTGCCGTTCCCAAAACAGCTGGAGGCTATAGGTATATACTTGCAGACATTCCCACCAACATTAGAATTAGAAATCAAGTACAGTAGTTGACTCAGTTGACGCTTAAACAGATTATTGCTGACAGTGTTTGGAGTGTTTGGGGGTCTATGCTGGTCTAATCAATCAATCTCTCTCTCTCTCTCTCTCCATATATATATATATACTGTATATATATATACACACACTGTACCCTCTGTATTGATGGGAAAAAAGCATGTTTTGGTTGGTTGGTACTCACAACAAAGGGTAAAACAACGCAAAGCCATCCCACGTCCCGTCTCAGCTCTTTTCAATAGGCCTAGCAGCGCTCTCATGACGACACCGGCTCTGTCAGCAGCCTCAACCAATCGGCCGTCTGCCCCTTTGTGCAGTCCCGCCTGGCGAGGTGCGACAGCCAAAGGCTTGCAGCATTGGACCCACGCGACACTCCCCCGATGGTAGGGTGCGTTTGTCCAGCTTCGCCGACCGACCTGAAATGACACAGCGGCATAGACCCTCAAACGGAAGCAACGACCTCAAACGGAAGCACTTCTTTTCCTCTTAGCCTAGCGAGCCCGAAGCCAAAACGGCCCTCACACATCACACAGGCAGACAAGTGGAGAGAAATGTAAGGAGACAAGTGGGGAGACAAGGCAGCAGCAGCACAGCAGCAAAACGGAATACAGGCACCCAGTCATTGAGAAGTAAGAACCCCTTTAGCTATCGCTATCTGGGGAATAATCATCCTCAACAGAAGCAACACGATCTAAGAATCTCACAGCGCATTTGTTCCTCACAGAGTCGCTGGACCCCCATAGGCAACCTAGATATCAAGTTCCGACCACCAGTGTTTTTTGATTCCTAACACCCCACGATTTGACATATTTTACACCTCAAAATCGCTTGCAGCTTGGACGCTGTTGCGTGGACCCCAACTGCTGCAGAGATCCCTGGCCAACGCTGCGTCTCCACCGCCGCCCGCCCGACCTCTTCCGCCGAGAGGGCGCAAACACGACACCTGCTTGGGAGTCCGAGGGGCACCACTGATTGTGACATCTTCCGTGGACTAGTCGTGATCCACATGATACATGTTACATGAAGTGCAGTGGATTGTCACTGTGTTTTTTTCAAAGAACTCCTTTCATCTCCTTTCTGAACTGTTCAGATCTTTGCCACCGGTCGAGTGAACTGTCACTGTGACTTTCCCTTTCGCACCTCCAGGCCTGGGTGCTTCTGACATACTCTCATCCCTGCTCTGTTGTGTTCTGGAGCCTCCATTAACATCACCAAAGTTCAATCCGAATCCTGTAAAACAACTCCTCCTTCTGAACACAGAAAGCGACCATTGAGCCGCTTTCTCTCTCTCTCTCTCCCTTCCTCGCTATAATAAATATGTATATATATATATATATCTATATTGAAGGGCCTTTTGCATCAGATTTGACGCTCAACTCATGGACCACCAAGCCAGTTCTTTCACTATCTTTCACTCTCCAAGTGATTTGTAAACCCAAAACCGAAGTCGGCTGCTTGCTTCATCTGTCCTCCCATCTTCTCAGCCTCTTCAGCAACTTGATCGGCAAAGCATCTGCGTCCGCCAGAAGAACCTCCAGCACGATGGCATGTGCATACTCCTCTACAGGTCTGTCTATCCGTGATCTTCAACGGGCCAAGGCACGCAACTTAGTTGGCTAAGATAATCCCTTTGTGATATTTTGTGATGAGGTGCGGAATCCAAGACCGTGATTAAGGTCTGCTTCAAAGGACTTACAGTCATGAAGTTCTCTTTCAAGGTCGGCCACACTTGTAAGCGACCCTTTCTTGATGAATTGATGGACATTGAATGACATTGGAAAACCATCTGACGAATTGGTCGGGCCTGGAGACGCTTGCAAACGCTTGCCATGGCGACCCTTCAGACGCATCTTCAGATCAACTTCGGTGTTGCTTCGCCTCGGACAGCCGTGTTCCTCGCCGGCCTGCGAGGGTGAAGCTGTTGCTTCAGCTTCGCGATCCTCATCGTCCTGGTCGACCCGCTCCACCGACCGAGCGAAATCGGTCGAGGATCATGTCTAACAAGAACTTGGCCAAACACCGGCAAGCCAACAAATGAAGGCCTAACCTTGCACCTTTTGACTGGCCTTTGTTGAAAAGAAAGAGTCGGGTGTAAGAAACTGCCATGCCACTTGCAACTCACAAGTTGTTCCCAAATATTTCTCTTGCGGATGTCTAATGCAAAAACAAACACCAACTAGCAGTCCAGCTAGCGCTGACCTCCTCCAACGCATTCAGCAGCTGTTCTTTCAGCCGCTGGAGCGCATCGTCAACACACATCGAGACCACCTGCAGACTACGTCAATCTATGTAAAACAGCTCTGAGGGCACTGACCAGGTGAACCTTTGGAAGACAGAAGCAACGCGTTCTTCCGTGCTTGCTTTTGTGAGGATTTGTGCATACCCCAATCAGTCTCTGCATTGAACAGGGTATATATTATGGTATATATATATAATATACATGGTGTAAATAGCAAAGGGCTCCTGTCATCACAAAGCAAAACAGTAAACACATCACGAAAGCTGGCGCATGTCCCAATCCTGCCGCCGCAGGATTAGAACGGTCCGGTTTTCGAGCATTGCAGAAAAGAAGAGGAGCTACATTCCACACATTGCTTCATCCCAAAACCCATCTTTACACTTCATCCAGCTGTGGGGCAGAGCGGCTACTGCCTGATTCCAAACACATACGTCGCTCAAAGCCTCGACGTCCCCATCCTCCTGGCTGGGTTGGACACACACGGTGTTGATGGTAACACCGGCGTTGACGGCTTCTGTTCACATCCATTTAGTTCAACATGACCTTTGTAGAAACGGTCAACTTGGAGGTTGTTTCATCAACCCATCTTCTATCATCTTTTCATAATTTATCCATAGAGCAGCCACTTTCATTTTCGGCCCCTCTCGGCGGAAGAAAGACTTGGAACATGAAATGAACTTAAGTCGAAAATCGATGTGGACCTCGTTCCACCCATGAACTTCGGAGACTTCTCGGAAAACCGGGGCTTTCCTGGTTTCGTTTGCTTTCCCTTTTTTGACGAAGCGTTCTGCTGTCCTGGAGCAGCTGGGTCAACAAAGGGACCTGTGAGTACCGAAGCAGAGCTCGAAACAAAGAAGTCGTCAGCATGTCGTCAGCACTTCTTTGAGACCTTTTTGAGACCTTTTGTACACTCTTGGACTCTTCCCGTATTTTGGAGGCCGAACCAGAGGTGTTGAAAAAGCAGCGTGTCTTGGATCTCTGATTTTTTCGCAGGGCGTCGATGAGTCAGAAGGAATCACTCCATTGGTTCTTGTGATAGAAGACACGTGCATGTTGGAATTGTTCGAACAAAAACTGCTCTGCCAACACTGGCCGGGTTGTACGCAGACTAGCACTTTGCCATCAATAGCTGTGATACTTCGGTGTCTTCATGAACTGAAAAAGAACAGTTGAGCCCGACTTCCAACTTCAAAGAGTTTCTGGCTGAATTCTACTCATCCACAATCCGATTAGCCACGCAACCCTCTGACGAGGTGAGGTACCATGAGCCCAGAAGCTCGACTCAACGAACCTCCCCCCCGATTATAAGGCTTGAATCTGTCACCAACAAATCAGTTCCTGCCTGAGTCAATCCTTGATGTCGAAGTTTGGTGAACTGGGTCGAAGCATCTCTCGGTCTCAACGACACCGAGAGAAGCTCTGGTTGGATGGGACCCAGTGGCCAGAAACCACCGCCATCATCGCGTGCGCCATCACGCCCACCGACCCCGTGTTGCCTCAGTGTTCAAGGAGGGGAGCCATTGGCAGCTCTGCCGCCGCAAGTCCTGACCGATGGCCGTGCAGCATTGCGAAGTTGCAGCATTGCAGCGCTCCCTGATCGGCGTTCAAGTCTTCCAAACGAGGTTGCCCAAGCAGTGAGAATGTCGAGTGAGTTTATTTACCAGGCCTTCTCCTCCTTCTTGTTTGGTGGGAGAACATATCAGTACATATAGCCGATTTCGACCCTCGCTCCTCGCCCCTCGCTCCTCATTTGGGAGCCATGGGATCCAGCGCGACAGCTGCTGATCGTAGTGGAGAGGCAAGGCCTCGGGAAGACGAGCCGGTCTACGAACCACTGGAGGACATCGAACCCGTCCAAAGCGTGGAGGATGATGCGGAATCGAACCAATGAGGCATCAGCAGGAAGAGGTGCTTTCAATGTCATTTGCACCATGATCATCCACGATCCTCTTCCATATTCCAGTGATTGTGACTGGCCGCCAGGTGATTTTCTCTACGATTTGTTTTACATCTGAAGCTGCATTGCACTCCAAGATTCATGTCATTTCTGCTACCATGCAACCGAACATGGAGTATGAAACGTTCCAAGCACCTGACTAGCTTCCTGCTATCCTGCTTGCTACATATTCCAACTGCCCCACAGTTATAGGTTGAAGGTTTGTAGGGCAACAACACGCACTATCCGAGCCGGTCTTTCTTTTGATCTCATCCCAGCCGGGTCACTTAACACGTATATATGTCTTCTCCTTGTGCTGGATGCTTGATAGGAGGCCAGCTCAATCCCGACTGAACAAGGGAGTAGACTCGGCTCCTGTCCACACACTTCATTGACTTTTGGTACAGCCATACAGGGCCATACAGATCATGTCTTTTTTTTTGCTGCTGGCTGCCTAGGAGGATTGCCACCTTTTGCATGGCGAGGGTGCCTCAATGGAGAATCTCCAAATACCCCTGGTCGAACGGAACAGTACTCAGAAACCCATTGGTTGAGGGAGTCTCCCTCTGAAAGTGCACAGTCATTTAGACCTAAAATGTGGGTGAACATCCGCCACATAAGAGCTGACCCTCCACGTCCCAACCCCGGGCCTCGCGGCCTGCCTCCTGCGAAGCGGCGAGGGTTGCCCTGGAACCGAGGTAGTAAGACCTAGACTTGGAGAAAAAGCTACTAGTAGCTACTTGCTCCTAGTAGCGATGCCAGGAGCCCCTAGTAGCTTCTTGTTCCTAGTAGAAACCTCTTATGATCTCTTTTTCTCCCCTTTCAAACATCTGAACCGAGAGCACCACAACGCACCACGTCTCCCATCTCGTCCATGGCAAAAACATGGCAAACACCTAGTATGTCTCCAGTTTTCGCTGTTGAACAAATCCCAAGGAAGTCAATCCCCCTGGCTTGTCTCCCGCCACCGTTTCACCGCACCTGACGCTCGAGCGCTAGGCCGGGGATCCGAGACCTGAGCAGCGTGAGCGGAGCTGGAACAGCTGAAGGACCCCAAGTTGTTCCACGATGGTACTTATGATAAGTAGTACTTATGTAAGAATGTAATGGAATTTGTAAGAACTATGATACTTAAAATTCTTTGATCTAAGATACTTTAAGTTTACCTATATATTATATATATATATTAATATATGGTTATAGAATGTTATAGATATAGTTATAGCTCTTTTGAGAGGAAACAACCATCTTGGGCTGCTGCATGAGCTTCTTCATGTTATTCAACCTTCTCGGATGTTCTGTTCTTGGGGGGCGCCGGGCTCCCCCCCCCACACGGGTTTCACCGACACATCTGCTTGTTGGTGAAACTCCCATGATGCTCAATGGATGGCTTCCTCTGGTTTCCTCTTCCAACATCCCCAACACGTAGAGGGCAAGCGAAGGTTGAATTGAACCCATCCGTTCAGCCCCCCACCTCGGTCCGTCCAGTGCCCTTTACCCACCCGACTCGGCGCTTCCCACCAGGAATCGCCATCCTCCCATCGGATCCGGTAGCTTTGGCCTGGGAGGGCGGAGCTTTTGACATGCTTTTGCTGCGCTGGAGGGGTCTGCCTCATGCCTCAAAGCGAATCAAGCTTGCCCATCGGGTAAGGTGAAAGAGCCTCCAACAACACACTCCTGGCCGAGATGCCCCGGAATCAAATCTGCTCCGAGTCATTGGGGCTCAGTGGACCTCCACTGTGACCAAGCACCGCTGAGCAAAGCCCGCCAAACCCTGCTTGTGAAAGGACCCAGATGAGATCAGATTTCCACATTTGTTGCAAACTGACTACTTGCCACTCACCCAACAAACCAAAATAAACTTGGCTCGCCGACCTGTGACTCAAACACGCTGTTACCCCTTTTCGTCTTTGGCTGCACTCTCTCGACTTGCAGCGGAGGAGCGTTCGTAGAAACCGCAGCACTCGGAGTAGACCACCTCCATTCCATGTGGCTGTTTTATTTTAGTACCAGTCACCAGGTGCTGTCTTAGTCTAACTCTAAGCACCAGGTGCAGCAGTTTGTAGTTCTAAGTCTAAGGATCTCGAGAAGTATTATTGTGATGCTGACAGGCTCGACAGCAACGTATTGGCGAGATCTTTTGATCAGTTTGGAGTTTGAACCGAGCTGGGTGCAGTTGTCATGACGCCAGTGGCTAGTAAGCCTGGCCCAAGGCTAGTCACACGAGAATTTCCAGAACCCAATGGTTTGTGTCTAAAGAGTCGAGTCTTGCGGAAGTCTGCCTCAAGCCATAGTTGCAAAGAGTTGTCCCAAAGAGACGGTGTATAATCACATCATATCACATCTCATCACTCTCCGACAGCCTTGCCACCATCACCAGCTTGCTGCAACAAAAGGGACTCCTCCTCCACCAGCAAGGTATCTCTGCTTCCTGCAGCCGAGAAGACATACATATTGAGGTGTGTGGCAATCGCTACTTTGGAGGCTCATCTCAGTACTGTATCCCTTAATGCATCCCCTTCTCTGGGTGGTTCTGGTGCACGCCGTTCCTAACTGGCTCGAACGCGCCAGCTACAGTACGCAGAATTGCCAGTAGCCGCTGAACACCGAGTCCTTGTGGCCAAATGACTTGATCCCCCACCAGCTCGATGGGCTCCTCATCCTCGCTACGCCACGCCTCAACAAAATTGCTGAAAGGACAGGGTTTTCCCGTGAGCACGTTGGCCGGGCCGTGCAGGTCGAAATCATCGTGTTTGAAACGGCTGAAGCGAAAAGGTTCTGGAATGACTTGGAATGAATTGGCTGAACGGCTAAAACCTATTGTGTTTGCAAATCGATGAGTTGGAATGAATTGGATCTGTACAACATGGTTTGACCTGAAAACCTGTGAAGAATGTCGCCGCTGTCCTGCGGCTAAAACAACTAAACAACCATATGTACATGCCTGACCAAAGGAACATCTGGGTCCACACACCAAGTTTGAGCCGTCTGAGGTCTCCAGGGCGACCTGAGGTCGCCAACTCCTTGAAGCTCCTGTAGAAGATCAGGCCAGTCAGAGCATTCCACATGGCACCGCCCAGTCCTCACGATTTTCGTGTTTCGCGAAGTCGCCTCTCGGCCAATGCCTCCTGGACCAGGAGTACGTCAGTCTGAGTGTGTCCCATTGAGACCTGGGCCTGGGTCCAAGCCTTTCGCAAACCCACCAAGAACCATTCATTCGTGAAATGATCCGTTCACATGTGTCACAAGCAAGAGTATTCTCGACTATACTTTCTCTCCACTGGCCCCACCAAGGCTTACCCTTTTCTTTGGCAAGTTGTTCTGCACCTCAGCGGAAAACAACATCCTGTGCCTGGCCTCACATCCAAGAAGCAGCACCAGGGCCTCAACACGTTGACCAATGGTGAGTGAGAGTTGTTTGAATTGGTTCACAAAGATCACGACGTTTAGCAGCAAAATGCAGCACGTTCAAAATCTTTCCAGTGGATGCAAAACACACTTTCTTCTCCACCAAAAGCTTCTGCTGTAGTCAAAAGATCGGAGGAAGTTTTCAGGTTCCAAGCAGTCCCAATTCGCGTTCGAATTGTTCCTTCGCGTCACCTCTTGAAATCATGGTGCTTCTCTTTGAGCTTCTCTATCAGAGCCCTACAATGCCAAAACCTTTGTACTTGTAGCTCGTTCTGACAGGTTTAAGACCTCAAATCACCACGATTCCGTTGCCGATGGCTCTGTCCTTGGGGGCTCTGGAGCATCTCTGCCACGTCATCGGATTCGCCGCGTCGCAGCTGGACGGTGCTCCAAGGCCCAGGCCCCGCGGCGAAGCTGTCCTTCACCTTGCGCCTTGGACCGATGAACCGACTCCAACAGCCCCAGGGCTGCTAGCTGAACCGCACGCGCACGCGCACGCGCGCATGTAGGGTCCGGCCCGTGTGTCAACCCACGGTTCAATGCCTGTAAAGGAAGACAGGTGATACGGGGCCAAAATGGACAACGTGAACATCTGGTAGTACCCTGGCAGGTACTTGGTCCTTCTGTGCCTGTCCTGCTGGGCCTCTGGCAGTCTCACCACCACGCGTTTGGCGTCGTCAGAGAGATGGTAGCTGCTTTGATCTGTAGCAGGCTGAGAGGGCCACGTGGCGAAATCACAAAAATCATACGGCTCGGGACTTGGTACTGAAAGGGCCTTTGATCCTCATTTGATCGTCCAGGAGAAAAAGGACAACGCCAGTCACCTGTGGCACTGGATCTTGGAGACGGCCAGCTGGCCAGAAGGCCATGGATCTTCAAAGGGACGCGGCATTTGATCGTCCACAGTTCGTTCTGCCCGAGGAGGACTGAAATTGCCCGAAGTTCTTTTCACATTGAACTTTCCCTTTGACGAATTATAGCGTTACAACAAACATGGAGTGGAAAAATAAAACAAAAGGCATCAAAGGGCTCTCACAAACACTTATTTTGAGGTGTCTCACAACCTACTTTAAATTCTGAATATCCCCGTTGAAATTCCCATGGTCGGTCCGGGCTCCACATTCTATAGTAATACAATGGGGGAGCCTACCTTTTTTGGCTCTATAGAATGGAGACCCCACCTAAGAGCCCAGACCGACCAAAACCAACCAAAATGACACCTTGGTAGACCTATAACCTAAAAATGGCCTAACCATAAGTTGGTTTACCCCACCCTCCTTCCAGACCTTCATTGTGTCAAGATAAACGCTCAAGCACACAGTTCAGAAAAAAATCACTTTATAAGGGTCATGTGGGCAAAGAAATCTAGGCTTCACACAACAGCTGACAATGACGGACAACCACATTTCTCACTCTTGCTGTGCACGGTCTCTGTCTATGTTCTGCTTGTGTAAGTGTATATGCTTCGCATATACCATTGGACAATCCCCCCATTCCAAATAACTACCATTCCGGGCTCTCCTTCAAGTTGCACAACAAAACCCAAACACAAAAGTTCATGAACAGTCTGTTCACTAAAAAATGTCACAGCCATCCACAACACACACCCAGTTCTGGAAAAGACCAGAACTGGCAACACTCACAAAAATCTATTTAGCCAGTGTCGGATTTTAATAGCCGATACTGGAAGTTGAGCCCGATGAGTTGCACCTTTCGGCGCTATTTTACACCTTTCGGCGTACTAGTTACAAGTAGCATTTCTTTTTTTTTTGTGGGCTGGGCGTGCCCAAGCTAAGGCCCATGAACGCCAGCAGGATGAAGATGATAAAGCCTGAGTCTCCTTAAAAATGCTGTGCTTATAGAATGGCTGGAGTCCAGCACCTGAAACAGCCTTTGATCTGAGATTATAGGAAGATTGCCTTTCCATAGAATGGATAGGAGTCCACCCAAAAAGGGCTGTCCCTAAATTGAGTGCCCCTCCACTTTTGGAGTCTCTTCTGGAGAGCCATGTGGTTCGTAGAACCGTTCTATGCAGGAGCCTGGGGGGGACCGATTTTATGGATGAAATTTTTACGGGGATTTCTGAATATCTTTTTTGGTCCGGCACCGGCATCCGGAATTCAGCTATACACTCTAGGAATTCAGCTCCAACAGGCTGCTTTTCCGCCGTTTTCTCCCTCCTCTAACCACACGGTCGCAGCTGAGACCGGTCGCTCAAAGCAGCGCCCTGCGGCCCTGCCTGGGACAATCTCGCCCCAAAGGTTCAGCCACTGAAAGCGCTGTGTAGTCCTCGACCAAGGGTTGATCACCAAAATCCGCAGCCCTGTAGGCCTGGACCACGCGAGAATCCTGGAGACTACTGAGTCGTAACAGCAGCTTTCACTCTGGAGTTGTCCAGAACCAATGTTAACACATGTTGGCACTCTCGCAAGTGCCGGGATAGCAAATGTATAGGAGCTTCTAAATGTGGTAGGCGACTTTGAAGGTCAATGCCCTATCCTCTGAACTTTTGTACGTCGATCTTATCCACAGAGGATCTGCCTTTTCATGCATTTTCTAACCCATCAGCAATATCAGCCTCTGCTTTTACAGCAGTTCAACATGACCCATCTCCAGCTGATCCAGGCCCACCTGATATCTACCATGACCAATCCATTCCTTGGTGTCCACATGACTGGATCTCCACAAGTGAATGTGCTAGAACACTGAGAGATCAAGAAAAGCAAGTAATGGGCCCATGTTCAAACGCACGACCACCAACATCGCATGCATCATGAACATTAATTAATGAACCCAATCCGCAAAAAATCATCTCTGGAATCTGCTGATACAAATATCCACATGAGAGCTCAGTCGACCGGGTCACCCAAAAGAACAACCAACATGCCCCGGTCTCCAAGGTTAAGGCATCTTGGATTCTTGGATGGAAGACAGCTCGTTGCACCTCCTGTTGCTTGTATGGTTGGTATCGGTATCATCTGATGCTTCATAAACTGCTGCGGAGCTGTCACCAAATGCAAAACACTTTCTGCCTGCTTCATTAAAGACAGCCGTTCTATATATGCAGCCCCAACTTGATTTTGGTAATCTCAGAAGAGGTGCTGCATTGTGCTGATGCTCTACCATGTCAAAACATCACTTCATCGCAGGTTCCTTCACACCATACCCATCCGAACCACGCTTCATGGGACTGTCCTGGCTAAACATTGGGTGGCTGCCTCAACAACTCAATCTATCTTTTCTGTACGGACATCCTTTAGCTCAGGAACAAGGGGCTACTAGGGGCTCCTGGCATCGCTACTAGGAGCAAGTAGCTACTAGGAACAAGAAGCTAGTAGTCACTGAAATCCAGTGATTTCAGAGGTTCTATTCGAGAAGGAATCGGGCTTGATGGCATCCTTACCTGGAGCTCAGGACCATAGTTTCCCCCGAGACAAAACAACAAGTTCTACTCTGGATCCCGTCCAAAGAGTCTCACCAATCACTTCAAGCTTCTGATTCAAGGTCCGCAATTTCTCCCCACGCGTGTTGGGCACCAGCGCATAGAGCATCACCGTGCGTCCCTGGCATGTTTGTTGGCAAATTTCGATCGATGCGAGGTCAGCCTGACTCAGGCAGAAACTACTACGCCCGATTACACCACTTGAGCATTTGCCACGCCACCGCTGGTTGATGCAAAGGACATGATGCAACAAGGTTGTCGCTCCTGGACAGGGGCCTATCGCTGGGCAGGGGCCCCACACTTCCAGCTGAACATACTGGAAAAAGGCATTAGCATGGTTATCCCTTTTGAAAAGGGACATATCCCTGTTTCCAGGCTTCAGCACACTGTTTCTACTTCTCGACAGGTCTTTACTAGGTTGGTATAGATTGGCCATCGCTGGTTTTGACGATTGCCCCAAATGCTTCTCTCTTGCAGCCAGTCCGCGGTGATGACAAGGATTGTCATGATTCTGGCGACGGCAATGATGATGATTCTTAGTGATTGGGCCTTGAGAACAATAGGAGTGAGTTGTTGGTTTGGACACACCAATAAATTGAACACCTATCAGGACTCTTAGCACCTTCCTCCCAGATCCATATGTTTCAGTGTGATACCCACAGATTCTACACCCCCTCAGAGCCTCACCCAACTGCGTTCGCCCAAGTGACTTCCATCCAAACCCACCTAGAGGAACCAACAAACATATGCTTCCTCCACCAAGCTGTGCACTGGCACACCATGACACTGTCACCCTCTCTGTCGCAGCCAGTCCCCTCGTTTTCACTCGCCTCGTCGCGCCAGCTCCAAGAGGCTTCCGGCACGGCCAAACCATCGGCACCCACCAGCCAGTCCTCGTCACACCGAGCACGGGCGGCACGTGGCAACGGCGCAGGATGGGCTAAGCGGCTAAGCATGTTTTGGTGAGCACGACTCGGCTGGTGTGATAAGTCCATAGCCGAGTCGTGTGAGAAGTGCGTGCCATCGGATGACTTTTGAATCTGATCTACAAAGCTCAGGTTTTGGTTTTGAATATATCAGGTGCTTTTGCTCCATCCAATGGCCATAGATTTGCCCATCAAATCCGCACCTTCGACCGTTTGGTCGGATCTTTCAGGTCCTGGGCTGCTGCCATTGCTGTTCATGATGTCGAGTCTACGCTGGGTGAGGAAGATCTGTGCACCTCTTCAAGTCCCGTTGCATCCACAAGTTACTCGTTGAGTCTTTTTTGCCCCAACTCCTTGAGTTACTCGTTGACCCTGGAATAGAATAGAGTTTCTTAGAAACTCACGACAATCTTGACCTGCAGCCCTTTCAGACTTCTTAGAGAGGTACTGGAATCCACTGATGAGCAAGCTGCTTTGAGATTGAAGTCTCACTGCGAATTGAGGTCTGTGGCACGTATCATGTGTCTGGGATGGGTGCCTCAAGCATTCTTAAGCTATTCACGCATGTCCCAAGCATTCGTCCTCCCCTCTTTGCCCTGGCATTTCCATTTATCTCATACATAAATGGTATGTATTTTGTGCTTTGGAAAAAGGGGCTCAACTATGTCCCGTGTCCGTGCGGCGTGTCGTTGACATGTCTCAAAACGCCTCAAACATCCAACCGGAGGCAATCCTTCAGCCCGCTTCAACATCGACCGAGCTAGCCAGTATTGCGTTGCGTAATTAGCAGGGGTATCTGGAGGATTCTGGAGGGATGATATTCATCAGCTTCCCTCCAAAGACCTTTTCAAGCGATGACGTGGAGAGCCACGAAGAAAATGCCCCCGGCTTGAACGCTGGCTTTTCAAGCGCAGCATGCGCAGCAGGGTGGGTCCGAACCAGCACAGTGCATCCCAAGGGATCCGTTTTCTCTCTTCCTTTCCGCGTAGAATTCCATAAATCTGGCAACCACAAGGTGGGATGGCTTCTGAGATTGAGATGAATCCAATCTTGCTCGAGCTTGTGTGGATTTCTATTTGTTGCACCCAGAGGCACCTCTAGTTTGTGGATACCTGGAGCCACTGGACTGGCCAAGCCCACGAAAACCTCCGCACGAAGCGGAACGAAACGGTTTTTAAAGAATTCGAGCTTGCAAAGGGCCTAGGGCCTAGGTCAGTACTACGCGGGCTCTTCTCCGCTTAACTTCGGAGGCTGGCTGCACTGCGCTGCCCAGCTTCTCTCATGGCACAATCATTTCTGCTTCTTTTTTAGCGATTTGGCATAGTTCGCGAGCTTTTTCTGCGCCTGCATGAGGCTGGACATCACAAAGCGTTTCTGTATCTCGACAATCTGTCACCAAAGATCAGGCCATAGACTTTTCACTTGTAGCTGTATCTAGAATTCTCAACCGCAACAGTGACCCTTGTGGGGGTTGATACATCTGAGCTAGAGCATGCCGGTCGCATGCTGCAGCTAGTTTGCAGGAATGCCCAACAATCCCCGAGCTCTCAGAGTCGATCGCCGAGGGGCAGTCTTGAGGTCTTTACTCTTCAGCCCTTCGCGGAGCTTCGCCATCGCCTTGGGAGGCATTTGGCTCTGAAGCTGGTGAAGCAGCGAATTCCAGGGTGGTTTGGAGACTCCGGGCAGTAGCCCGTCCCCCCCAACAAAAGGAACGCCAAACTGTGTGGTTTCTTCTATCTTTATATTGCCTTTTCTTACTTTTTTCCAGGCCAGCCATACACATTGGGGAGATCTCAAACCGAGAAGAAACACCAAAGTCATTGGCTTCGTCTATATATATGATCTTCACTATCGTGTGTTTGGAGTCTTATGAGCCTCGTCATGTTAAATCCTTTTGGGACGCATGATTTTGAGGTTTGTCTGTGTGCCACAATGTGGCAGGGAAACAAGTGTTATCAGAAGAGAAAATAGCTAACCTTTTGCCACTGCCTACTACCTACTACCTACTACTGCCTACCTACTACCACTACCTGGGGTCGTGTTCGCAACTGCGTCCGTTGCAGACCGCGGTCCGCCGGTGGTGTGGAGGGGTCCAATGGGTCGGGTCTCCCTGTAAACTGCTACTAGCTATAGATGATGCCAGTTTGGATGCCGTCTTTCATGCACACATTGCTTTTCGGATTGCTTTTGTTTGGTCTCCCCCGGCCGCACCCTGCGAAACACTCCTTGTTGCCTTGTTTTCGATCGCCTCCCAGTCCAGCAACCCCGGCTGTCCAACGGTGCTGCGACCAGCGACAGAGTTCATGGTTTTGGCCAACGAGGGCTTCAGGTCGCCAGGGTGCAGCACCTCCGCTCCAAAGTCCTGGCGCGACTTACTCGGGGCTGGCCTTACGACGAACGGAACAAGGACGGCGACCCGAACGGAGCGGCCTCGCGACGAACAGAGCAACCCACCGGACCGATGAAGCGCGTTGACTGAGCACGTACAGCAGATTCCTGGGGTTCTCTGGGGTTCTGCTTTTGGGACTCAAAGGTAATTATGACTCTGGCCACGAGGATACCAGAATGGCTTGAAGCGAGATTAATGGAACATTATTGACACATTTGTTGGTCCAACGGTCAGACCTGCTTCACACCATGCACAGACTTCAACTAACCCCCGCTGTGCCAACAGGCAAGCCTCCCGAAGCTTCTGGAGGTCATCGTAGCGCAAATCACCGCCGTTCTGCTCTTTGCGAGAGACCTCACGAGCCACTCGAGTCACGAGCCACTCGTCCCGGCTGCCAATGAAGAAAACATCACACGGTCGGCCAATTCCATTCACCCATGCGGTCAAAAAGGGGTCTACACATCTGAGGACGTGAACACACATCTGAGACGTGCAGTATATCCGGAGACTGTTTTCCTGACAGGTGTATCCACTACTGTCGACACCTATCTCAGTCATATCTCTTATTATCTCATCATATCTCATACCAGTATCTCTGTATGGACCCGCTCCATTCAGTTCTCTCGGACCAAATTCCACTTGAACAGACTCGAACACACAGAATCCTTTCAGCTGCTGCAACCAGTGGTTTCAATCCGTATACCCCCCAAGTTTACCATCTTTACCGACTCCCGAAACATCTGGCCCATACCGCTTCGGAATCGCAGCTGTTCGTTCATCGCGATGTCCATCCTGGGTGCCTCATCTTAAGCCTATCGAGATAACTGGATTTCTTAGCCGCTCAGCAGCGCACCACGAAATCCTTCAGCTGGAAATTCGTCAAGAGCGCCTCAGGACCGGCTCGATTCGACCGGTCCGGTTGGAGTCGATGGACTCCACATCCGCTTGGAAAAGATGCGGTTTCAACTCAGACGGTGTGCCACATTGATCCAAATGGGTGCGTTTTCTTTCGTTTTGAACATGTTTCCTACATGTTTCTACTCACTTATCTGCAGTGAACTCCCGGGAAAATGGTGGATTGGGAAGGCCTCGCACAGACCTGCCACATCCAGCCCCCCCGCGCCTGAACCCAGTTCACCGGTGGACAGAAGTCCACGTTGCCGGGCTCACAGAAGGCCTACTGCGATTCCACAAAAAACGACATCAACGATCGTCATGGTGGGTTGGGCCTTTTCAAAAACCACTGAAAGACTCACAAACTGCTTGGGAACATGAATGAATATGAATGAACATGAGGACTTTGCTGCCCAGGTTGGTGCAATGGTTATGTCATCCTTCCTATCTTACATTTACATGAGCACGTGCATGATGGATACTGGTAGAGGACATTTGTTGTGAAACTTTTGCTGTATCATGTATCATGTATCATCCTTCCAAGCACTCCGATTTCGGTTTCACCAGGGCTTCTTGGAATTGGACGTGACGAACAGCACATCCTGAGCACCATAGCTTCATTCATGGGTTTTGAAATGTTTTGAAGGGTATGCGTGGGCTAGCGATGTTTGTCAAGAGAACATACATGATCTTGACTTCTGCAGAGCAACCATGGTCTCTCAACATCCACATCGTTGGCTTCGCTTCTCTTGGGTTGGAGTGCTTGAGGCTTCAGGGTGGGGAAAAGTGTGACACCCGCGGGATACCACATTTGAAGCCATCTGTCAATGAGAAGGACGACAACCACTCATACCCACCTTCTTGAACTTTCGGTTGATATCCATCTCCTGGCATGGACAGATTGCAAAAAGAGGCTGCCAGACTGCAACCTAGTCACAGTCGTTTCAGGGTTGGATTTCAAGCCTATTACCAATAGGTAGTTCAAACAGCCTCATGCACACATCACATGATTGTTGTAGGGTTTTGTGTTTTTTCACTCTGACAGTCTCTACCTTCACATAGCCAAGTCTCAGCGCCCTCAAAAAATCCTTTAGAAAGCCCTCAGTCAACAAACATAACAAACAAAAGGAGACTTTGGGTTTGGGGTATTTGATACCCCCCCATCCAACCCCCTTGGAATATTTTAACAAATATTCTGCTATGGGTGCACATGGATAGCAACACATAATAAATACATACACTATATTAATGCATCATAATATATACATATGTTACAGAGCTTCTGGATCCCAAGAACCTAACCTGGCTTTCCCCACTTGAACTGTCATGAAAGATCATGAAAACTATCAGTACTAGTATGTCCTTTTCGCCTCCCTTCGTTGCACCGCTTCGAAGCTGCCGTCCACTCGCGAACTTGGCACCGCGTGGGCACCGCACCGAATCCGTGAGGAGGATCTGGGTATCCACCTGGCCCAGCCATGGCGCGCTCATGGCCATTCTGTAAACGCGACCCCCTGGGCCCCAGCCTTCACCAAAAAGACTCAGCAAAAGACTCATTTCATCAGCCCCTGAAGGTGAGTCCTTCTTCCCGTCCTTGAGAAGACGATCTTCCACATATTTCCACCACGAAAAACGCGTGAATGGACCGCATTTTTTCGCCGCCAGGCCATACTTGGTCTGGCCTCTAAACCCTCTCCATCGGCTTGAAGTCTCAGGGAGGTCCTCGGCGAAAACACCAGTCAATCGCAGCCCAGGAAGCCGACGGCAAATACACGTCTGACAGGACACAAACAGCACCATCACCACAAGCCGGGCACAAGCACATAGAAGCATTCACTGCAGCATGACACATCATGACTGCAACATCGTGATTGTTCATTCCAAGTTGTTCATTCCAACAAACCGATGATGGTCGCCCAAGCTCATGGTCGCACATGGTCGCCCAAGCTCGCGGCGCATCCACCACTTGGATCTCTGGAGCCTGAGAACACCGTTGTTCCACTTGGATCGATCCGGGATGCGAAGTGGAACGACGGATCGAGACCGAAACCGATTGGACTCGACCTGTGCACCCGAGCGGTTCAGACTCGCGTCAAGCGGATCTTCTGCGAGCATGGCCTCCCTGTCAAATGGCCTCCCTGCACATCCTCTCTGCGCAGCAGTCCAAGCATCATACCAAACAACTTTTAAAATCTAATGAGAGGCCCCCTTGAGAAAGGCCCTGGAATCCAGGGCACATGACTTCTGCATTGCTGTTGGGATGTTTATACAGTGTCCTCATCTCAGGTATAGAAGCGTCCTGTGTAGGTAGTAAATTGTCCTCGCAGGCTGCCGTCCGAGTGCCTTTTTGCTTGAAGTCAAAGGCACGCATCCTTTTGGGTCTTGACCGCATCTTGTATGAAGGCATCTCCAAAGATTCCAGTGTGCTTCGAAGCCAAACGAAAGGACACGGACCACTGTTTTCCTTTTGAGGGATACGAGTACCGTATGAGATCCTCTTGCCAAGCATATCATACATATAGATGCATATAGTTCATGCCGTTGACAGACTGACACTGCACGGAAACAAAAAACATACTAGCATACTCACCTTAGGATACGACATAATCTTTGCCGGGCTCACAAACAACTTCCGTAATCAGTCTATGAGAGCAAGAGGCGGAAGGTATTTGCATCTACTTTTTGGAAGGCACTTCTTGTGGGACCAGGCTCCCCGACCGCAAAGCCGCAAGCCTCTGCGTGCTTGGCTGCCAGGTCGTGCATGTTCCTATGGAATCGGTGCCATTGAGCGCAGCCGACCGAGGGGTTTGTGGCTTGTAGCGCTTCCCTAATAGCGATGGCCTCCAACCTACTAGCAATGGCCTCCAACCCAATGGAATGCACTGTGGAAGCTTCGTAATTCTCTTCCACCCACAAGCGATTGATTCCTCCACCAGGCCTCTGCCGCGATGTGGCATATAGAACAACCTCACGTCCTCTCAGAGACATCCAAAGTTCTCCACACAAGCATGAACCTCATGCTGCCTGATTGTTCTGTGCTGCCATGAACCCATGATCTGTTTCGTAATGCTTGATCTGGCTAGAATGACTCCTTTCCCATCCTTTTCCACTCCATGCAGAATTCAACCTCCATTGGAAAAGGGCAGGGCTGCACCTCCCACCAGCGCAAGCACGTCGCCCAGGTGCATGATTGTTGCAACGACCTGGCGAGCAAACTGAGCTGGAATGCCTAAGAGGTCCATATCTATCCATATCTGTTCAACCCCAATATGTATGTATCTCTCTCTCTATATATATATATATAGATACAGTATGTTTAGCAATCTGTCTTCCATGTTTTTACTTTTTTCACATTAATCTTGAACAGCTGACCCACCTCAAACTTGGAGTGATTCATTCTGAATCACTTCCATCAACTTAACTTAGCAAGAGTCCCCAATCACGATCAACCTTCTATCTTCCTTTCAACACACCCTGTTGAAATAATCCACACGACAAGCTCACAGGACTGTGCGCCAGTGGCTTTGACACTATTTTGCTCCCCTCTATAACGGTCAGCAATTCGATAGAAAACAGTTTTTGAAGACAGTTGCAAAGGGAACTCACTTTTGCGTCTATTTTGTGGCATCATCAAATCTCAACATGCCCTCAGTGACCGCATTGCCTGCCCAGCAATCTCCAGCTCCTCATCCGCTGCCAAGGCCCCACGAATGGCCTTAGCAAAAGCTCTTTCGTCGACAGCTTCGAGTGGGGTCAGGCAGCGAAGATGGAGCAAAGGGGCGTGAAGGTTGTTGATTTTGCCGTACGAATCCGTACGATGTAGAATTCGCAAGACTGTACATATTATCACGCCGTATCTATGGACGCTGAGAAGTCTTTGCGATCTATCGAAACGAGTTCACAAGCACCCCCGAAATGGTCACCGCACACACCAATATTTGGATATAATGGACCAAGTACAGTGTCAAAAGACACATTAACCCATTCACACATTACATCACCTTACACCAATTGCACTGCACTTGTACCACACTACGTTGCATTGCATCACACACACAGGAAAAATATATACTATACATACTAATATACTGCTTGAGCAATCCATACCAAAAAAATCATCCTATCTGTTGCTTATCTCCAGTCCTTCCAGTGGCTCCGGCCTCCAGTGAGCACTGACGACCTGGCCAGCTCCACAGAAACTCGATGTCACATCCAGTCTTTTCATGTCTTTGGCCCTCGATGACTGCTGCTACCTTTACGTTTGTCCCGTCCCGCCTCACATCGTCCTCCTTTCGTCCTCCTTTCCGTTCGAAGCACTGGTCCACCCGGGTCCCGCACCTGCATTGATCACGGAGGTCCAATAGTCCGAAGGCCCGGACAGGATGGCCTGGGTCTCGGAGACCCGGTGAGATCGCGGAGACCCGGCCCTCTCGATGTTTCTCTTTGTACTTGCGAATATCCACTTCATTGAATCTTCATTGAACTTCGAATCCTGACGGATGGTCTCCCCAAGCTGATGCTCCGTTTCCCTTTCGCCCATTTTCGCCCCGACCCACGCCATCCGCAGAATTCGGACGACCCACGCCCGCCATTCGAGTGGCGGCCTCGCCCTGCCACTGCACCGTGACCTGTAGCACTGCCGGATCGGTTGATCCACGTTCGGTCTTGAACGAGAACGAGGCCGAGCATGGACCGTGACGGACGCATGAATGGATAGGACTCGGAACCAAACGAAGACATGATTCCGGGTTGAAGTGATACTGTTTCAGAAAGCGACTTTTGCTGACTACTTTTTGCATTTTTTTGCAACATTTGAGTGTGCAGGTCGTGCAAAGAATTGAAACCGAACAAATCCAGGACTCCAAGTGTTTGCACAAAGGTCTTTTCTCAACCTGATGCCCTGTGGGATCCTTCCTCCTTTGAACCGCTTGTATTTCAATCTGTTCGCTCATCTACACAATCCCCAGGCTTGTTTGCTTGTCCTCAAAACTCAGCGCGAAAGCCACATCTGATTCTGTGATCGAAGGAGCCCTTTCGGAATCAGAACTGGCCCGTACCAGTCTCCAAATGACCTGCTCCGACCGTGATCTCTGCTCCAACCTCGCTCATGAGCTCGGGGTCGAGCGCATTCAAGCCATGCCTGAGCTTGAGCCACCATTTTTGGAAAACATGGAGCACTATGATCATTGACCGACTCTTCAATCTCATGAACAATGATCCATCTTTGTTTTTTGCTCAAGGGACAGCTTTTTCATCCCCTTTTCTCAACATGGGATTCCTGAGCCTGGAATGTCACCAACATGTTGTGCCAACGGGGGGGGTTAGCCCCGCCGGCAACATATATCCGATCGGTCTTTCAGGGGGGGGGGGGGGGGGGGGGTTGGGGTCAGCTTCGTCCGTGTTACTACTTGCGTACATCGACTTTGACGTTGACTTGTCGACTCGGTGACCTTTCGTTCGCTCGGTGACCGCTTTTCTTGGCTTAGAGGACGACGTTCGAGGTTTGTTTTAACACTGCGTAGAATGGGTTTTCTTGGCCGTTGCGATGCAAAGCTGCAACGACAGCACGTTGAAGGCCTCGCAGCGTTGTGGTTCCGCCAACATCCAGGGTTGGACTCAATGCTCGAGGCTGTCAGAATACATAGAGAAGCTGTGCAAGACACTTGTCCACCAGCTCAAATGTACAGTGAGCTCAAATGGCTCAATTGGGAACAAGACTTATGTCTGGCGGCTGAACAATGAGCCTTGGCAAGCTGTACATGGAGCAGACGGGTGAGTTGGGTCCGTCAAAACGCATTCAACTTATCGTCTTGCAACTCATGAGTTGCAAGACGATAACTTGAGTGTCCGGAAAGCCACGAAGCCCTGTAAAACACATGGTTTTTCACCCTCGGTGTGTTGCGTTCGGGGCTAATCCCCCCCCGTTTACCCAACATGTTGGTCGTGGCATGGGTCAATCCACGGATACTAGGCTTGGAGGAATCCACCCAATCGCTTTCATTCTCTTGGACCCTTCGGTGAAACAATTCTGAAACAACAGGAGCCCTGGGGTCAGTTCTGGGTTCCAAGGCAATCACACAACATCGAGGATCTATGAACACTTTCCAAGCCCCATGCGGAACGTCATTTGTTTTTTCCTATCACCAGTCACTATCTTCCTTTTACCAGCACGCGCGCTTTCAAGTTTTTACAAGCTTGCAGCTTGTTGGGGTCACTTGATTGACGATGTCAACTTTTTGCACTGACACCACTCCATCTCTTCGAGTGGCCTTTGGTGGCCCGGGTGCTCTCTTGTTTGCAAGTTGCTTGACGTCTGAATCGGTTGGACATCCGGTATTGGACGGCCACCTTCCAGGAAAGCAACACAGTCAGTTCCGCCAGAACTCTTCTCTCCAATCCATGGGTTTGACATTGTTTGACCAACCATCATCGATCTCTGTTAGGACCCGGAGGTTTTCATGCGCACTGGGGGCATGACAACAGCAACTGGTAGAAGCCCTTGACGCAATCAACCTGGTGGATCGGATGAGGTGACAACTATGACTATGGGGTGACCAACACAGAAGCTTTCATGGGCAGCGCAAGCCAAGTATGGGGGGATGATGGCTCTTGGTGGATGCCGGTGTATCTTGCTGACACATCTTCAGAGTCCTCCAGGGATTCGGAACGTCCATTCACAGCAACGATTGGACTCATGCCCAAGAAGGGAAGGTGTTAATGAGCTGCTAATGAGAGAAAGTACTCTCAACCAAGCGAGACAAACATACAAAGGCATGCCTCCAAGAGTTGAAAACACCTTCAACTTCATCTAGGAGGGAACAAAACAAATTCATCAATTGACGGTAGCAGTTCCATCAACTTGACTGCTCATGTTGGGATTCGGTTCTGGCCTCCAGAAAATGGTTGGGATATGTTGGCAGGATTTGAATAATAGCATTAATTTCTTTCCATTTCGGCAACCCACTCTTGAGATTTGCAGGAACAACTCCCGCCTTCACATGCATTGCAATCTTTTCCACAACAAAAGCAAACCAACTAGCCAACCAGAAACCCTAAAACCGCGTGACTCCGAACTCCATTCTCCCCAACAGGTCTAAGTGTAATTGATACCAATTCAAGGTCTTATCCCTTCACCAATTCCGTGACTCCGATGGGCTCCGCCAGGGCTCCCCCGCTGATCCGCCGGCCGCCCCGACAGCTTTGGCGCTCCAGTCCTGGCGGAGAACACGTGACGGGACGTCTGCGGGCACTGTGGACGTCTGCGGCGACGTCTTTCGTGTCTTTTTTCTGTTGTTCTCCCCTTGCGAGTGCAGAAAAAGGGTCTGGTTTCTTCCAGCTTTGCAAGCCGTTTGACCTGTTCTTGGAGGCTTTCTTTTGATGGACACGATTACAATCACATGGTAATTGTTGGAGACACAGTGACCCATTCCAGGAAAACAACGCCTCTGGACGCCTCTTAGCCTCTTCAGGGGCAACGAACGGCCGCGGTTCAGCTCCTGGAGCCAAAGCACTCGCTTGCCTTCAGCGCTGCGGAGGCTTTCTAAGACCTGCCACACCAGTGCTGCTAGGGACTGGCTGGGTGACATACCGCATGGGTCACATAGGTCAACTCCATATCTATCCCCAATTAGCCTGAAACATTGACCACAGCATTCATTCAGCACTGTGCCCAGCTCTTCCATCAGCTTCCATCATCGTCATCGTTGTTTAATTTGTTTCCCCAAAGTTGAGGTTCTTCGACATACACAATGTAAAGGCAAAGGACTACAGGCACTCGAGCCACTTACGAAAAGGTGGACATAGCATTGCCACTTTGCTCGTCCCTCAACCCCACTGCGAAACTTCAAATCGATTGGACTGGTTCGTTCGAATCGATACCAAGGGAGCCAGGGCCTTCTACGAGCGAAACGAGCAGACTCGAAACCAACGCAGCAGGTGCGCCAGGCCGTGACACACTGAAACACACCGTGCGCGTTCGGCCGTGACACGGGTGCCTTCACCTCAATGAATCGGGCCGTGTCCGTCTTCGGCCCCGGTGCCTGGAAGACATCGGAGAGACGGAGCAACCTGCGAGGGAAAGACAGCAAGCCGTGAGACGAGGGATGCAAGTTCCAATGGGATTGGCCGAAGAAACGAAACACATCCTGAGATTTGGAGACGGAGGACATCTGGAAGAGGGCCAACAACTAATCCTGACAGATGCAGATCTCAACGCTACGTAACTGTTACGAGTCTGTTGTCACAGGTTTGTAGCAAACACCTTATATAGACAAATAGCATGCCAATGCATGCCAGTATGTCTATCACAACTTGCCAGGACCTGGCCAAGTGGAAACGACACTCTCTAGACTGCACACTCTAGACTGCGATGACCATGACGGTAAACACTCATATATATATATATATATACATACACACTCTCATATATATAAGTCTTGAAACATGAGTCTTCTCCCAAACAGGATGGATCAAAAATGACCAAACACATAAAAAAGAACATGCTTTCAACGATCCCATGCAGGTCAAAGACCCATGGTTCTTCCACTGGTTGCAAGACCCACCGTCCCATCTTGGCCAACCCACTCAGAGGGCAAGGGTGCAAAGACCACCGCAAGAGCCTCGAGCGGATCGTTGGGTGGAGTCCAAACGACATCGGAGTTCCATGGGGAATCGTTTCTAACAGCGATGGCCTCCAACACCACACACTTCGGAAAAATGATGGAAAGATCCCACGCCATCAAGATGCCAAGTTGTTTTCGTTTTGGAGTCCGTGTGTTTGTTTGTGTGTTTGTTTGTTTGTTTGGGTTGGGTTTGGGTTTGGGTTGGGTTGGTTTGGGTTTGGGTTGGTTTGGTTTGGTTTGTTTGTTTGGTTGGTTGGTTTGTGTGTGTGTGTGTGTGTGTGTGTCACATGTGTCGCGACTCTATGGTTCTTGCCACTTCTTCTGCCAAAATGGCAGACCGGGTCGCCCCAACCACCCTTCGCCACTCGACCCCATCCCGCACCTCTGCACCCAGATCCAAGCCCAAGTGAGTCGGAAAGGACCTGAACACCGATGAACCCTTGTCGCGGACCGCCACATGGACCACGCCACACGGACCGCCACATCTGTTCTTCTTTTCACCTGGAAAAAAACGGTGTCTCTGGTGGCTTTCGCTTCCAGTGTTCTTTCCACGAAATGAATGGGCTTGAATAAGCCCCAGGCGCTGATTGGAAGGTGGGTGTGAGCTGGCCTACTGCCTATTGTCAACATTTACCAACACCATTGAATCTTTCTGAGAGCTGCGTGTATCAAGCCTGTGGGCGTGCGAACAACATCCAGAAGAGAGGAGCACACACTTCAAACTTCAGCAAACGTATGACATACCAAACTATGAATGCAATGAACATCAAACTTCAGCCTTTGGCAGTTCTTCTGCTACGCCACCGTCGACGGGTCGCCCTTCGCCCTATCACATAACACGGGGCGCCCAAAACGCGCCCCACGCGGTCGCGAAGGTTTTCCATCCTGTGAGTGAATCATGATGGCATGCTAATGGGTTTTGACACGCACGAAGAATCGTGAGTGTGATGTTACGGGTGCTTTTTCACTTCCATGTTCATGAGTTGGAGAGTAATATTAGGCACATCATAGAGCCATTCAACTCGGTCAGCGACCTGATTGGATAATAATCTCCACATGAATCTGGCATATTCAACCTGTCACATGGAGAGTTAGCTGGCGAGATCATGATCTCCAACTTCACCAACTACAGTACGCTGGCCCTTCTTTCCGCCAAAGCCATCCATCAGAGCTTTCATTTGCGTTCCAATCGCGAAAAGAATTTCCCTCTCATATTATGGCACCAAAAATACAAAAGCTTCCCCTTCAGATCCTTCACTCTGTCTGCGCGGAGGTAAAGCATGCGGCGATTGAGGAAGCACGGCATGGCCACCCCACTTGATGACAATGTCCTCGCCCCGACGCCAGGCACTGACCTGGCACACGAGCGCGAGCTCGATCGAGCTCGGCCCCGGTGCGTATGCCGCGCCCTGCGTGTCTACGCAGACGACAAGTCGTTGGCCCAAATGACCAAATCCGGCTTGGTAGGCTAGGAGGTCATTGAGCATTTGCGTTCTCGTGCAATCCAGGAACCTTGGGAAGTGGACCAAAATCTGTGACTTCAGGGGGTGGAAGACAACATCCAAACACGGCAAGGAACGATTCAAGGCACATGGAATTGAGCTGGACGCTCCAACTGGGATCATCTGGGACAGGACAGCTTGCCGAACATTGCCCAACAGAGGCGACCATGAGATTTTGCGAGTCTGATTGCCAGTTAGATGGGCAATTGGGTTACATGGCCACCATCTCAGGCTTTGGTCCTCAGATAAATGAGCTGTCTACTGGCGTTTTCCAAAAAGGCGATGTCAGGCAGAGCCACCAAAATCACCTCCATCTCAGCCCAACTACCAAGCTCTGTCCCTTCAATCGAGCCTTCTCTAGGAGCTCTTTGGCTTCCGCGTCCTCTTCGAAATGTCTTCGGACCTCAAAAAGCCACGCGCCACACGCGGAGAACCGCAAAGATCGATCGTGAAAACCGGGAGAACCGGTCGGCACATCGAGGCAGCAAATGGGACTCCACCTCACCTCTTTGCACGCGAGTGGGTGGAATCCACCTCTGATTTGGAAGTTCGTCCAGCACAGTTCGTCCAACACCAACAAATATGTTGCAACAAATCAATGATGCCACGTGATGTAAACATCCTGGAGTCTGAGAATTCCGACAGGTTCCAGCAGCGAATTGACCTGCACAGAACGACTGATGCCTGGGGCCTAAAGGACCTTGCTAAAAGCCCTCGACTCTAGACTTCATGCGACCCAAAGAACGAATCTGAGGACCCTGCTCTGGTCAACAATAAAGGCAACAACGAATCCACAAACTCTTCGAACAATTGATCGTGATGGATGAATGATCCAGCCCGAGCAGTATGTTTTGGGACAGATTTCCGCTTGTCGCGGCAGGATGCGGCAGGCGCGTTCGAAGCCAGCTGCTTCTGAGGGGGATCCCCCAATGAGTATTGTTGTCTGTCCGTTTTTGGGCAGTTTTCTCAGAAGCAAAGACCGTGCCCCCTTCAGGATGCTGGGCGGCTGGGCCTCATTGGCCAAGCTCTCTTTCAAAAGGGCCTCCTCAAGCTTTCCTTGGACAAAGTCATCCTTCAAGTCCTCCAGCTCCAGCGGTAGCTCCGCTCCATTCGGTGTCACGAGGCAAAAGCTGCTCAACGAGCTTTGGCCGAAGCCTTTGACGGGGAAACCAATCGAACTCTGGAACAGAGATGACCAACGACTGAACAGTACTTCAAACATCCACTCGTGACGCGAGCGAAGAAATCTTGTCCTTTTCAGCAGAACGACCACACATACCACACATCTTTATAGAGATTTATGGCACACATACCACTCTTTTTGATACCGCGGCTACCGGTAATATGCACCATGCATGTCTCTATACCAACATCTCCGACCCTTAACCAAATTATGAGCAAACCACACCCAATCTTGGTCTCACTGTGTGGTCTCACAGTGTGTGTGTCCTGGAAGCTCTCATATACCTGTTCTCCCACTTGAAAGCGAAAGTCTTCTCTGGAGAACAAGGTGTACCTGCCGAACGCTCGGACGCTGCGACGCCTCTGCGTCTCAACGTGACACCGCGAAGAAGAGACGTGCACCGTTGGGATTTCGAAGTGGAACGGCTGTCAGCCCGAACAGGTTTGCGAAATGCGGCGGGTAGGAGAATTGGAGAAGGGAGAATGAGGAGAATTGGGTTGGCAACCTGGCCACTCTTCTTGCATGTTTAGCAGATTTTCTCTTCAATGGTCCAAACACGAGCTTTGCCTTGCCGTTGAAGTGCAACAAACACTCTTGATGTGTTCTCGTCTTCTCTGCATCAAAGGCCCGTAATGCACAAGCAGAAAAAACAGGGCACTGAATGTAATCCAAGCAAGGATTCTTCAGAGCATCCTGACAAGAATCCCAAGAGTATCACAAGATCACCCAAACAATTTTTGCGATTAAGTTATTTTAGATATCACGTGATTATCACTTGGTGCGAGGACCTATGCTTGACCTCTAGGCTTTTAAAAGGTTGAGCGCATGGTACGTAGCGTCGCGATACGGCGTAGCGAGCGAAACATCCTCTCTGTTCGACACGGCCTTTCCGTGGCGACTTGGCGGCCCTCTCTCTGGGTCTATCCTGGAGGTATCCAGTAGGTTCCATGTTGCCATGCTAAATCCCTGCTGCCAACCTCTGCCTGTTTTGCGCACTTTTGCCATGGCCCATGGCCCTCCATTTTGGTGTGAAAGGCGGCTCTCCCAAGCTACGGCAGTTTCCAATTCATTGGTGAAGGGGGTTTTGGCAGTATTTGGGGCAGATTGGGGCAGCAAACACAGTATCAAGGACTCATGCCAATTCACAAGCACCATGCAACAAAAAACATACCAAATGAAGACACGGGTTGCTCAAAGTCTCCCTGCAGAAGCTTCTGTTTTGGGACTTTCGTAGCTTTCACGAGCTGGACATTCCCTTTCAGGCCACGAGTTTGGCCTTTTCAGAAAAGACCTTTGCGACGACTCACCCTGAATCACAGCCATTGTTGCATCAAACCCTCGCGAATAGGAATGAACATGAATGAACCAATATATCTAGTCGACACTTGGCCAATGGCCAACTGCCCGTGCAAGAATACCTTCGACCGCCCATCCGCCGAAATTCAGGTCGACACCCAGTCTCCCAGTCTGGGCGTCCTCCACCAGGGACATGCCCTCTTGCGACCTTGCGTTCAATCCACAAATCCAAGTCTGTGGGCGAGGTGTCATCAAAGAATTGCTTCCATTTTCGAATCATAGAATCAGCACTGAAATGAATACATGGAAGCCCCGGTTCCTCTTGAATATTGGAAGGCACTCAGACCTTGGGCCACTCCTCCTTGGACGCCAAGTAGCGTGGCTTCTTGGTCTTCCGGCGCGGAGGGACCTGAGCCGCCAGGAATACGTCGGGTCCGTAGAAAGCCTTCTGCAAAGATCATCAAACACAGGTGAAATGCCATTTCACCAGGGGGGAAGCGCCTGAGCTAAGAGCTCGGTTGAGTACTCAGTGCCATCTTCGTACTCTCTCTCTGTCGCTCAGCTGTCGCTCAGTCCTCGACAGTAGGCGTTCAGAATCTTCCGGGTCACGTCCTGACCGGGCACACCGGTGACCCGGAGCAGCACCCAGCGACCGGCGTCACGGTCCGTCCCAGTCGAGCATCAACTGGCGGTCTGGACCATCTGAAATCATTGATCCCATCAGACTGGACATACAGACTGGCATGATCTCTATCCGAACTGGCATATTGACATTCATTGACCCCTGAAAGCAACCACCCCGATGTAGGTAGTAAATGGTAGTAATATGCCAGTTCCATGGATGGTCTGGGAGTTGAACATGATCAAACCGGTGACCAGTGCTTTCCTCAACTTCAAGTATTCCGATGGATCGGGAGCAAAAAACTTGGGACCAGTGAGCTCCTTTTGAAGCCATCTACTTCAACATCGCCCCAAAGTAGCAGCATCCTTTGCAACTGCTGAATGGCTTGGAGAAGGCCTTGAAAGCTTGCAACAAGCAGGAAAACATCCACCTGCTAGAAGCAGAATCTGTAGACTGTACCGGCTCCCTGGTGACCAGACTGGACTCTTTTTGCAACGATCCAGCCCCACCTCTGCAGCGTCTTCCATGAAAATGGCGCTGTCTGGATCGGACTTGGACATCTTGGCCTGGCCCTTCTTCAAGCCTTGCCACGCCACGCAACATGAGGACAGATGATCCGTTTGCTACTACAGAAGAGTGTGGAGACTTATAGGTAGGTAGGGAGTTCGGAGGATTTCTGGATGGGTGGATGGTAAGCAACCACTCCTTTATAGCAAATACTTGGCCAAGCTCCATGGATAATTCCCCGGCCTAACGACCTGTGAATGGCGTCCGCCAATCCATTTGACCCAACTGTGAAAGCCCTTAGATGTGATCATCTCAAGAATTCGTTTTCCTTCGCCTGGATTCCAGGCCTCTATCGCCTCATCTGGATTCACCGGATCCCACATCGATTCCTCGATTCCCTCACTCTGCATGGAATGTCCGTTTTTCAGCTTCGCTCCGGATCTTTCAGCTCCAGGCCATAGAGCATATGGTGCGAGAGGATCACCGGCTTCAACTTCCGCCCTCCCGGCGTTCGGCTTCGGGTGACGTGCCCCCCGAACCCGCCGGATCCACCGGCTGTAAACACGTTAGAAGGACGGACTGGGGGGGGGGGTCTCTTTGTTGGGTGTAAAAAAGCCAACCAAACTTGATTAGAAATGGCAAGAAACACTGAAGAAAGGAAACAAAACAGACATACACGTGACACTAGAGTCACTAGAGTGTGTCTGACGTTGTACCTGGAGCAATAGTCAGCGTCCAAAGTAATGTAGCAAGGATCGTGCAGGCTGAGCTAGCAGATCACCACAGAATTAAGTACAAATTGAAACACGATCAAACTAGATCAAACTAGGTCCTGCAAGTCCAATTGTGAATGGAACCATGGACCAACATGTTCTCTTCCTCTGTGAAAGCGCCTGCTGCATCACAATAGTCCCTTGCAAGCATGTTGACCTCAATCCGCGAGCGCTGCAAATGGCATGCCAACTGCCAACATTCATGTCGTCTGTATAGATCAAACGTAGAGTTCCCAAACACCCGAATCTCTTGAGAGCGCAACATGCCGGGCACAGGTTTCGATTTTGGAGGTGCCAAGCCTTTTACGTTTGTTTTTTTGGGGTGTTGAACCCTTCCCTTCCGGCAATTTCACTGAAACATCCAAAGTCCATCTCCCGCTTCATGACCCACTTAGGCCGCTTCTGTGTTCTTACCCCTTGATATTTCCCAACTTCTGACGGTCTCTTGGTTTCTTCATCGTTTTACAGTGCTTCGACTAACTGCAAAACAGTTAATGTGTAGTCTGTGTATACAGTGCACTGCTATTTTTCTCGCAAAGATGAAGACCTAAGCACAATTCATTCCAATTATAATGTAGTACCATGCTCAAAGCCCGTGCAATAGCAACTCACCGAACATCATTTCCTCCTCTTTAGTGTCGGAGATCACGCGTGTGGGCCTGTCTATGGGAAGGTGCTTACGCTCGCTGCGTTATCGCATCTGTTTTCGTTTTTGTGCCTGGTGCAACCCCGACAAAAAAGTGTTTGGTCCATACTCAACACACTGAATCCTTGTGCAAACATCCCTCGAGTGCATTGCGGCGATTGCTTCCAAACATGGAGGTTTTTTTTTACATACTCAGACCAATTCAACTAGACATCAACCCACCTGCACTTGGATGACCGTGGAACGGTACCAGTCGACCGTTCCAACTGGACGGAACGAGCCGCTCGGTTACCTCGCTCGGTGGTCTCGCCTTGCGTTGATCGACACCCAATTGGCAAATGTCTGCCTGGACCGGTGCCGGGCTTGGTTCTTGAACATGATGCAGACTTCGCTCGATAAGCGACTTAGAAGGGACAAACAAGATGGATGATTGGTTTTTGTTGATTTCTGTGGGTTTTGATTTGTTGATTTCTGTTGATGGATGATTTCTGTTCAGAACTTGCGAGGGCACTACCTAGCATCCAGTTTCTTTGGATTCCCTTGAGGCTTTAAGGTTGGTCAGGTGTTTGGGCAAAGAACCACATACATATTCTCAAAGCACTGATTTGTACACCTTCGTCAAACATCATTTGAGTGTATGGAAAATATTGTTTGAAGAAACTTTGCCAATTAGGCTTTGACAAGACATCTCTTTGTTACCCATTTGTTTGATTTATAAGGCGAGGTAGGATGGTCCAGGCTTGGTAAGGTCTTGCAGCTTGTGGATTTGCGAAGGTGGGAAGTCCCAACATGCAGATGTCGGAGAGACCATGTTCGCCCATGTTCTGAAGCACATGTTGTTTCCTTCAGCGTTTTTCTATATGCATGGCCCGGCAAGCCATTTTTTTTCCCTGAACGTGGATCCGATGGAGAAAAACTCTTCTTCTGAGGTTCTTGCTGACTGATCCACCACGCGCGTGAACACGCGTCGACTGCGGCGACGAATCCGATCCTTCAAGAAGAAGATGTCCGTGCACTGCATCAAGGGGTAGAGGATCTGCGCCTGAGATTGGCATTTGGGCGCTTTCACAACCAGCGCTTCGCTTCTTCGCTTTCACGAGGCCTTGAGACTTAGACTTAGCGTTACTGCGCGTAGTTAGTCGGCGTCAGTAGTGCAAGCGCCTAAAAACAGCTCCATCTGGAAACTGGGTTTGAGAGAGACTCCATAATCACCTGGTACTTGGGGCAGCTGTAGTGGAGAGTAAAAGAGAAATTGGGCTGGGTGCCGATGACAACCTCAGAACCCTTTCGTCAACCACGACAAGAAAGCATGTCCGATTGAATCTCGGACCAGCTGAACCTAATTCTCCAAATGTGGACGTGGAAGTTGAGTGAACGACATTCAAGTTAAAACTTGGACATAGCATTCGGGTGTGAACATCTGCAATCCTACGTCCTAAGCTTTCCAAAGCAATGCTGATAAAACTGGGTGGCACAAATTCCAATCCCAATCGATCGTCTCACTTCAAACAACTCGTGGGCACACCGACACGTCAACCTCCACGACTTGTTGTGGAAAAAAACACATTCGACATCACAACGAGCTCAACTGGGCCCTGCAACGGCTGTCAGGGAGTCTTCACCTCTCCCCATGATCTGACAGCACTTCTTCACCTGAGAATCCGGTTCCGGGTTGAGGCCCTGCCCCTTTTTTGCAAGGTAGGTGATCTATTTTGCGGCACTTGAAAAAACCACACATCACCTAGCACATCACACTCAAACCATTGGATACTGGGTCTACAGATATTATCAGATATTAAAGGTACAGTGGATTGCAGCCTCAGTGCCTGAGGTGTCAGTCTTTGGGACGACAGGTCTCTTTTTGCCAATCGAAGTGTATTGGATTGTATGGTTCTGTATATGTCAACATAAGGAGTGCCCAAACTAGCAACCGCCACACAAAGAAGCATCAACGAGTCCATTTATGGTCCCTTTAAGTCTTTGATGTGTTTGTACCCCATGTTTTTTGTTTTTTGGTCTCTTTGCTCGTTGACACACAATGACACACATACACACAAACAACAGGATTCCCCTGAGGTTCTTGCCCGAGCCAAAGTCGTGCGGCTTCCAATGTCAAGCGCCTGCCAGGTGCAGAAACAAAGGCGTCGGGAATGCGTGTGGGGTGTCGACAAAATCCAAGAACATCCGGAACAACCGGGTTGGGTGTCCACAAGCAAAGGAATCTAGCCCTGGAAGTTGAAACGCTGCAGTAGAGCATGGGTTTGGGGTATCACTTGAAGGTTTCGAATTCATTGTCTTTGCCAAACCCCAAGAGCTAGAGAACTCTGCCCGACCGCGGAAACAAGCCCTCGCAGGCCTGACCCCAATACTCCTCGGCGCGACGGCTGATCTCATCGGAAGACCAAAGGAACTTCACCTGACCGGGGCAACGGAATTTCGGGTCCCTTTGGTGGGGATGGAAGTGACTTGAAACACATTGTAGCAAGGACGACTCCGATTTGCACGCTGAAGATGCACCACATGTATGATCGCACAAGAACAGCATACCTAAAACCAACGCACAAAAGCCATTTGGAAGATAAGAACAATTCCAGGGCGCGGAGAATTTCACTTGCAGGATAAGATCGGTGCCCCTTATTGTATGGCCAAAGACTCACAAGAAAAACACACACACAACATAAATATAAGTTACATAAGCATAAACATCAACAACAGCTCCTTCAGCCCACTCTGAACATAACGGCCTTAGACATGTCCATCCCAATGACCTTCCAAACTTCGATGAGGTACCTGAAGCATCGGTGTGAGTCGTCCCGACCGGGGCGGAACATCAGAACGGCGTTCGATCCGACTCCGTCGATCGTTTTGAGCCAAAGCCCAGAGGGCCCGGAGGGGGGAGCTCCGAACGGAGCACGCAGACCAGACGCAGTGGACTGACATGGACGGTCTTCTTCGACTGCAATATAGAGGATACATGATGATACAGATACATGATGATACATGGGCAGATCGATTTGCGACGACATTTCCGTATCGACAAGGACTATCTTGGGCATCAACATGGATGTTTTGTGATAAATATATACTCGTTCCATACTTGTTCCATTAGATGGGATGATGAGACAAAAACACCTCTTTCAGTCTTCAAAACTCCTTGACACACGCCGCTGACACAAGCTTGTCCAACTGGAATGCCCTAAAGAATCTATCTATAGCGCTTGTAGAGTGCCAAGAGATGGAGCCCCATTAGACCCAATTGGGGAAAGACAAGTCGAGTATATACCAAAGCCAAATTCCAAACACCTTGACTTTTTCTCCGAGACATTCTGCGAGCGCCCCCGAGGTTTTAAACCTCAGAGCTCTATCTGAGCAAATCCTGCGCTGGAATCGAGCATCAATGCCATAGGGTTCACTATGGTTCACTAGGGTACAATTCAACTTGCTAGGCCGCTAGGCTAAGGAATCAACACTCTTATGTGTAGTTGAGGAATCTATCTCCGTGACAAAGCTCTGCAGCTCTCCAGTGTGTGAAAGAAAACACTCCTGCACTCGCCCTTGGACTCTGAACTCGATTCGACAGGATTCACAGCGACGGGATCTGATTGACCAGCACCCAGTTCCAAGATGTGTCGTGATGGTGGATGGGCAGAAAATGGGTGAGATACGCATGATACATTCCTCTGACATAGATTGTGGATTTTCAAGTCTACCCATATCTAACACTCACCAGCTAGCTACATACGCAGGCAGGTTCGAATTCATGCCCCTTCCAAGGTCTTGTGCATGCCATCCCACATGGCTTTGACCTGGACCGTACAGGGCAAGTTCCCCGACTATCTGCCACGCGAACTGAGATGGGCTCAAGGAACTTGATCTGCTTCTTTTGGAACAAAGTACAGTATGTCTATGGCAAAGGACCAAGTTGCCTTGAGCAGTACAGTAGTTAATTACTGTATATAGTTCTATCTACTTCTACTGTTAGATATTGTTCGATCAAGAACCAGTAGGCTGAGGTCATCCCAAAGTCTGGTCGATGTCAACTTTTCATGACGTTTCACGAGGTCCTCAGTCCCATGAAACAGATTCACAGCAAACACATCGATTTCGGAAAATGTGTAGATTTCCCTGTTCCAACCAGCAAGCTTCCTTAGTCCCAAAACTCTTCCGTAGATCGCGTCGATCCAAAGGGCTCTCTTGAGGGAAGAGGGCACCATCTAGGCGCACTACATCTGCATCACATTGAGTGGAGAACACAGAGATCCACGACCACTTGTCCACAACCACCACCAGGATATGGTCTATCCTTCTTGTACCAGTAGTTACTGATCGCATGTGTTCTAGACACATTTGGCCATGGTTACGATGGTTACGCTTTCAGTGAAGCAAAACAACATGCCCCTCCAAGATACACATATGATCCTAGGATATCCTAGGAACCAATACCACTCCCTACCGCGCTGCTTTACACGCTACCCCCCAGTTTTCCTCATCCCGATGCTTCTCGGATCCAGGTCTTTCACGGTCAGAACGTTTTCACGACGGGCGGGGTCGAAGGGTCATCGCAGGCCATGCTTTCCGCAATGTGGCAAAGGCCGAAAGTGCCAACGTGCGTTTTGGTTGTCGAACCAGGACCGAACAGCAAAAACGCCGGGCAACTACACAACTCTGTTGCCACTGGTGCGAAAAGACAATTGCCATCGGCAGTTGTATCCCGCACATAGATTACCAAGAAGCAACTAGCGAAGTAAACGGGAAAACAAAGACTCATGACTTAAGCCATGAGCCATGAGCAAAAAAAGAGACGGATAATCGACGGATACAGTAATTTGTTCAGACCACAACTTGAGGTTGGAATGTACCGTGCACAAATATACCATAGCAGCACCAACAACAACATCAACTGACAACAACACAATAATAACAGAAACAACACAAAACAACCAGAACACAAATTAAACACATACCCCAGCCCAAACCTGTTGGCATTATTTTTTGGGTTTTACATGTCACGAGGGGAACAATTGCAAACTTTTTCTTGCCTTTGCTTATTCATTAAGACTCGACACTACTTTTCTGTTCTTCATGATCATTTCGGCCGCTGCCCAAGCCTGCGTACCATCAAGCTGCCCACCAATTGTAAGCGGTGATACGCTTGAGACTCATTGGAAGAGTCCAGAAATCGTCGTCCCCCAAGCCCGCATGTTGATCCATCATGATTCAAAACCATCCATGGTCTATCGTCATCCATGGTCCATCTATGCCTCCAACCTAGTAGCTTCTTGTTACTAGTATCGATGGCCTCCAACCTACTTGCGATGGCCTCCACCGAGCATAGTGTCCTTGAATGTCCTTGCTATATCATCATGTTTGGTCGATCCATTCCGAACTCCACGAGCTCCACCCAGCGGCGAAAGATTCACCGATTTACACGCGACGGAACTGCTGCGATTCCATGGACTCCAGCTTACTGGTGCTGTTCTCGACCTGGCGTGATGGGTGGAGGGACGATCGCGCGGATCGATGTACCCAGTAGCACAAGACTTAAATGTCGATTTATATAAATGTGAACTTGCCAGTACGATCATGCGTGAATTCCTGGGATCTTTTTCCCTCATTCCCCTGTCGGCAGTTGCATGTTGTACAAGCAATGTGAAGTCTGGGAGGCTCGTGGATTTCAAAAGCCACTCCCCTTTTTTCTTCGGCCACCCACTGACTCGCCACTCCCCGACTCCCTCCAGGCTGGGTGCCTTCAAGGCCTCCTCCTGCGGAGCCTCAAAGCCGACAGGATCAAACGGATTTTTTGGACTCTCTTGCAACATACCTGACCCACTACCTGGAGGATGAAACGTACATTTCAGGTGTGCCGGAATTCTTCGCAGGAGAATGAGGAGGGAGAATCCCCATCAGAGCAGTTTATGCCAGCCTTTTAAGGAGTGAGTCTTGGTACCACGACCCCAAAGGAAAGTATCAAGTAATTGGGTAAATGTTGGCCTTGGTTTCGTTGGTTGGGTGGAAATCCTTAAGACAGGCAACGATTCAGGAACCTTTCGCAACCGGGATTCGATCCGCTATGGCTATGGCTTCTATGGGATCAATTGGTCAATGGCTACCTGCCTTCCAGTGTTCAAGCCCTCTTTGCAATGTGTTCACCCGGCACACCATGACAATGCCACTCTGCCCGGCCTGCTCCAGAGTTCCAGCAGCTACTGCTGCAGGTTGACCAGCCACCCAGTAGCCCTTGTAGCCTCAAACAGCCCAGGTGACCCACTGGGCTCTGAAACAGTGAAGTGGTTCATGTGGATGCCTCGATTTGAACAAGTTTCTTCTCACCAACACGAGCAACCTATGGCAAAATATCTGACACGCATGTCTATCCATACGGTCTGTCTATCCACACACGTGGCAACATTTATCGCTTGATACCATTTGATATTGGAAAATCTCCGCGGCTATCCGCTCTCCGGCAGCACCGCCTGGTTCCTAAGGGAATGTACTGGAGTCTGCGCGGTGGTCGCCACACTGGAGAGGTGGTCACTCCTGTGTTTCCAGGTTGAAAGGTGGACACCTATTCCACCAATGTATGGAAGAGATAAGACGTACAACAACCAATTGAGCGATATATCATACACATATAAATATGGATGTATGGATGTTCATGGATGTTCACAGTTTCCACGATATACTGAAAATATCTTAAAAGATCTTAAAAGTGGCCGCGGGATATGATCCATCCAAATGTGATGCCATACGCATGGGCAGTGTCACCCGATTTCACCATGTTTGTTTGTGGAAGCTTATGGAAGTGTCGACTGCTTCAACATCCTCATGTTTTGCAGCTGAAAAGCCGGAAGCCACCCGCTGCGGTGTAGCGCGCACCGACTCACAAGGTGACCAGATTGGGATTTCCATCGACCCATGGTCCACCGGAAAAAGAAAAACCCGGTGAAACACCGGTGGTGCGGACTGCCCGGGTAACACGCGCCTGACTCTTGAGCTTGTTCTGGAGTTTGGAGCCCGTTTCCGTGTTTTTGGAGCCCAAATCTGCGCCGCCTTTGGACACACACCATTTCCGCCGACTCCCCTACAATCCACCGAAGGCGATCGAAAGAATGGCCCAAAACATTGCCGCCCTCGAGCCGAGCCTGTGGAGCTCATGGAATGAGTTGGAGACCTAGTTGTCGAGACTGACAAACTCTAAGATAAAATATACTAATTTCAAGTCAAATTCATTCCAGATGTGAGAATTGAGACCCACAAAGCAACTCTGTATATGGTCATTTCCTCATGATCCAACTCCCCTTTCCCTACCAGTTTTGAGTCCAGCGGCTCATGCCATTGCTCCACTCGAAGACACCGAAGCCATCCTGGGACACGCCACCACGCGGTGGCTGAGCTTTTTAGGGGTCCACGTCACGGAGCTGTCTGCTGCGAAGGCAGGGCCACGAGTTGCTTTGGAACATCTACATAACCGACATGTATGGTCCATGTATGGTCTATTAGACACTCCATGTATGGTCCATGTATGGCCACCGTTGCTTTAGACACTCCATGTATGGTCTATTTACCGACCTTGGGGTGGTGCCAGGGGGTCAATGGGGCGGCAGTCCGGACTGGCAGTCCCAGACACGTCGTGTCTGGGTAATGAATTTCATGGGAAAACCCGCCAACTCCAAGAGATGACCACCATGATCGAACGTGGTTTTCTGGTCATGCCGCCATGCCTCGAGAAAAACATGACACATCATGACACCACTACATGCTACATGACCATCCTTCTCAGTCCCACACTT